AGCTCAGCAGATTAAAGCACCTGCACGCAGGTGCAGGGGCCAGGGGTTCGATCCCCCCAGCCTGCTGTGTTGGCCCCGCCCCCAGGGAGAGCTGAGACAGCGATTGAGACTGGGTGTGGTGGCATACTCCTGTAATCCCAGCACTTGGGAGGCTGTAAACAGGAGAATCACTGTGAGTCCGATCTAGTTGTGAGACCCTGAACACCCTATAGACCCTTCCCTAAAATACAGAAAAATGAAAAAACTTTAAAAAAGATTATGACAAAGTATTCCATAAAATTTACCATTTAAATTATTTTGAGTGTTCCATTGTACTAAGTTCCCTTACAGTGTTGTACAGGCATCACCACTATTACTTCCAGAGCTCTTGATCATTCAAAAGATCATCCTTGAAACCATAACCCCATTTTTGCCTTCCCCAGCTCCTGGCAGGCATCATTCTACTTCCTGTGTCTCTGAATTTGACTGTTGTAGATAGCTCATTTAAGTGGAATCGGGCAATTTTTGTCCTTTTGAGATTGGTTTATTTGATTTAGTATATCAAGTGTATTCATGCTGTAGTATATGCCACAATTTATTTTTTAAAAGACTAACTTTATGTGTGTAGGGTATTTTGTTTGCTCATCTATTGATGGACATTTGAACTACATCCACTATTTTGGCCATTGTGGTTAATGCTGCTAGGAGCAATAAAGGGATGTGCAAGTTATCTGTTTATTAGGAATTTCTGGTCATATGGTATTCTTTAATTTTTTGAGAAATTGGCAAACTGTTTTATAAAGCAATTGAGCCATTTTACCTTCCCAGTAACAATGTCATGCTCAAGCACCTCTGCTTTGTTCTTTCTGTATACTTAACTTTTTCTTTTTAATTCCACAAATGAGATCTCTCTGTGTCTGGTTACTTAGCAGAATGTCCTTCAGCTCTTTTTTTTTTTTTGGTGGCAAACGATAAGATCTCCCTTCAAAGCTGAAGTGAGTGAGTGTGTGTGTGTGTGTGTGTGTGTGTGTGTGTGTGTGTGTGTGTGTATGGGTGTGTATGATTTTCTTTACTCATTCATTTTTGGCCAACATGTAGATTGCTTCTGCATGTTGGGATTTTTGAGTAGTTCTGCAGTGTATGTGGGAGTTCAGATCTTTTGGAGGTGATTTCATGCCATCTAGGTATATACACTCTGAAGGACTGTTGAGTTATAGAGCAGTTCTATTTTTAATTTCTTTACAAATCTCCATAAGGTTTTTCATAATGGCTGTACCAAGGTACATTTCCACTAATAAAAAAAAATTATGCCACATTCAACTGCAATTTATTCCAGGAGCATAAAGGTGATTCAATATTTTATTTTAATTTGAATTCAATATTTGTACCATTCAATGTAATTCCAATAGTAACAGACTATAGAAGAAAAATTACAGGGTGTGTTAATGTAAAAAAAAATTTAATAAAAAAATTGATTCCCATTCATGACAAAAAAGAACTCAGAAAAGTAGGACTAGAAGGTAACTTCCTTAACTTGATAAAGAAAATCTAGCAACAACCTCAACTCAAGCACATTTTACCTAACAGTGACTTTTTAAAATTCTGAACACATCACATATGTTCAACTGCCTACTCAATATTTCCACTGAGATTATTTGATAGACATCTCAAAGTTAACGTTTTCAAATCCATGTCCTTGTTCTACTCATCCTCAGAACTACTTTTGGGTATATTCAATGCATTAACTATCACAAATAATTGTCTACTGAGCTCACAGTCTTGGGGTTATCCATAGGCTCACTCATTTTCTAACAAACATTGAGTTCTTTTCGATCCCCTCCCCTCACAAAGGTATGTCTGTGACTCATTCCTGACCTGATTTATTGCATTTGCTTTAAGGTGCTCCTATGTCCTGCATTAAGGTGCTCCTATGTCCGGCCCCATTAGTCTGTCCTCCACACAGAGGCTTGAGCACCTTTTAGGTTTCTTTTTAACGTATTTGGTACAGGGTCTAGAGGGTCTCATTACATAGATCGGATTCATGGTGATCCTCCTGTTTTCAGCCTCCCCAGCACTTGGATTACAGGCATGTGCCATCATGCCTGGCTTCTAGGGCCAGCACAGCATGTGGTACCTCAGATAAACTCCAGACCTTGTACTTGCCAGGCAGGCGCTTATGCCCCTGAGCTATCGCCCCAGCCCTTGAGCGCTTTTTACAAGCTATGTCTAACCATGGCTGTTTTCTCAACTCTTCAGTAGTTTCCCATGTTGCTATGAATGAAATTTGTTTGTTTTCAGAATAGGGAAACATTTTTATACTGACTTCTGAGTAATATTAGCTCATCATTTTTTTAAAGGTATTTAGTACAGGGTCTACAGGGTCTTACCACACAGATTGGACTTGTAGTGACCCTTTCTGTTTTTCAGCCTCCCAAAAACAGCACTGGGATTACAGTTGCGTGCCACCACACCCAGTCTCAGTCACCATCTCAGCATGCCCTGGATTGAACCCCCGATCCGTGCATCTGCCTAAGCAGGCACTTTAATCTGCTGAGCTATTTGGCTGGCCCTTAGCTCATCATTTCTTCTCACACAAAGACTGAGAAAAAGCTGTGAGCTAGGAACTTTATAAAATATTGGAAACCTATTATAGTGGGAAAAAAATAAAGCTGGCCACTAGTTTTATAGACTTGGAATCCAATGGAGAAAGAATCAGGCAATTATTATAGTGTGTTCAGTCTGAGGTAGCAGAAGTCCAGAGGGCTGTGAGAGCATTTGCAAAGTCCTTTTCCAAAGGTGAAAATAAACTGAGACCAGTAACATACATGGAAGTGAAGCAAGTGAGGAGTTGATAATGGAGTGTGAGGGAGACATAGACAAGGAGGGGCTAGATCCTGGAGTCTAAACTTTGGAGAAGTGACAGAATAGTCAGCAGTAAGTAAGGGTCCGACCACATAGTACCTTGCAGGCTGTGTTAAGAATTTTCATCTGTTCCTTATTAAATTTAGGATTCTGAATTGAGATTGAATTAAAGGGATCATGACTAAGAGGATGGTTTCTGTTTTCAGAAAGCTACAATAGGCTGCAGGTGGGAGGATGAATCAGATTCCAGACTGGTGGCTGAGAGCACAGCTAGAGAATGACCGATAGCAGGCCCGATGCACGGTGGTGGTGATCAGGGACAGTAGTGTCTAGAGTGGGCCTGGGCAGCACTCGCCAGAGAGAGACAGGTCCGAGGGGTTGCCCAGTTGTCTTTCTGGTGTACAAGGAGGAGGAGCACTTTACAGAGAAGATGATGAGTTCCGAAGTGGGCAGAGAAGCACTTGTGGGACTTCCTAGAGGACAGGTCTGGGAGGACATGGTGACGTGGTGGTGAGGAAGCTTTCACAGGAGGACTTCTTTCCCTCCTTGAATTGATGCTTATCTCTAAGTATTAAATAATATTTAAGGATTATAAATTGTATGCTCCTTGTTGTTATACAGAGAAGATGGATTTGTTAGGCTTGTTTAAACTTGTCAAGAAGGTTTGTTTACTTTTAAACGTCAGCGATCCTTGATGGAAGAGACTGCTTGGCTGTGATTGGGGGAAGCAACTTCCTCTTGCTGCTAAATATAGTACCGTGTTGTATGGCCCGGTGTTTTAGAACCTTGTACTGTGATCCTGTTGTGTGTTGTGTTCATCTGAAGGTGCTGCCTTTCGGAAGGTGCAGCAGTGTCTGCTCAGGGCACTGTAACAGAATAACATAATTTGTAAATATGAGACATTTGTTTATCAGAATTCTGGAGGCTAGGGAGTCCAAGATTGAGGCAGCAACAGACGGAGTGTCTGGGCAGAGCTGCTTTCTAGTTCAGGCTTCACCCGCTTGCCGTGTCTTCCATAGGGGTGCACCAGGGGGTCTTTCTTGGGCTTTTTCTTATGGACATTAATCCCCTTTACTCATGAGGGCTTTGCTTTTGCTGCTTAATCATTTCACAAAGTACCGCTTCTTAATATAGTCACATTTCAACCTGTAGGAATGGGAGGACACAAGCACAGCATAATGCAGGTGCATTCCTTCGTAGAAATAGTGTCCTGGTTGGGAGTGCAGGCTTGGGAGCCAGGCTAGCTGGCTCACCTCTTTCCCCTGTCATTTAGCCATGGTGGGTACTGGAGCATACTATTTAACTTCTCTAAATTTTTGTCACTTAGAAAATAGAAAAGGTACTACCTATGTCCTCTATTGTGAAAACTGAGTTCATACAGTAAAGCATTTAAAACAGAACTAAATAAATGTTAGCTGGCATTATTCCTACTGTTGTTTTCCCTGTGGTTAATGAGAGGAAGGACAACTTGGGAGGTGGCGAATGCCTTCATTATGTGAAGTCTGTAGTGAGCACCTGAAGGCCTCTGAACCCTGAAGGAGAGAGTGTTCTTGAATTCCTGAGACAGCTTTGCTGGAAGCAGGATCGCAGCACTTGGGAGATGATAGCTAGTCTCCCACCACTGCCTTCCTCCTCATTATGGGAGTGGGTGGTAATGGATTAAGAGGAAAACTGGGAGGAGTTTGCTGCATGTTATTAAGAAGCTGGGAAAACACCAGTGTTTCTGAATTGCTACTGTAGTTTCTCATAGCCTGGATTTTAGTTCTCTCCTGAAGAATTCCCATGAAAGATTTCTGCTCCGTGAAAAATAAAAATGTCCTTTTTAAGCATACAGTCATAATAAGACAACTTGACTTTTCACTTGTAGTCAGGTGGGTCAGAAAAGGAAAACAGAATGATGCTTATATGGATCAAAGCTCTGGTGTTAGAGTCTGAGCCAGAAAATAGGATTGTGAAAACATAGGGTAAGGGCAGTAAACAGGAAGTAACTGCTGTGCAGTGAGGTGTGGCGGCTTCTTGATCTTCCTTGAGGTCCCGCTAGAAAGATACATCTTTTTCATTCATGAGCAGGAAGAGCAGAGGTGTACCATCTTATGCAATTGTTGTTTGCCCTGTTGGATTCTTTCCTAAAATCTAAAATTTCACTTTGAATATTATAGGAATTTGAAAATGACTACGTTGCATTTAAGTCCAAAATTTTGGACTTTGATAGAAGGCTCGGGACAATTCTTTGTGAAGCTTTCTGTAACTGCCATGGTTTGGAAGCTGCATTTAAGGTGAGTTCTGAGAAAGCTACTATGAAAATGTTTCACTACTGAATAATATAGACTGTTACATGAAAGGAGTGAGTGCATTCTTTTCTGACTCAAGTAAAGCATTAACTAGATTAGTTGCATTCCCTCAAATTCAGCACACGTTAATGTGTGAAGAATAACGAAGTGGGGTTTGCAGGGTCATTTTTAGGACCTACAGCTATTGATCATTTCTGACATTCACAGTGTTGTACCTCTTGTTACCTTTAGAGCCAGCCTGGCCTGGCCTATGAAGAATTGATTTGACATTAAGTCACAGTAAAAAATGAAAAATGTTTTATAGTTCAAGAATTTCTTTTCTAAAAAAAAAACAAAAAAAAAAAGAATTTCTTTTCTTTGCCACTTTTTACGTATGTTGGGTTTCCTTACTTTGTTTCTGACTGAAATAGCAATTTATGTACTGTTTTCAATAGGTATATAATATCATTGATTACCAGGCCTGTCATAATTTATGTGTCAATAATGAAAAAAAAATTCTGCCCAATAATTGTGAGGTCATCGATTGCATAATGCATTCCAATTTCACAGATGTTGAAAAGCTTTTGTTTCAGGGCAAATGAAATACAATGTGCATATGTATATATACGTACGTATACATATGTATATATGTACACACGTATGTATATATGTGTATACATATGTATATTAAGAATTGTATAAAAGAAAAGCCCTGTATAGTTCACTGAAAGGGAAAGCTTGTCACACAGAGAAGAGAGACATCATGAATGTTTATAATATGATGTGACAGTGAAGCTTAGTCACCTTGCTTGGCTTGGGAGCCCCCCAGGGGTTGGTGGAATACCCTTCTAGTTGTGTCTAGGTGTTCAGGGAGGCATGACCTTGGGTGCTGCATGTGGCCTCGTACTTCTTCCTCTCTGGCACTGTACCCCTGCTTTGCACACCCACAACTGTCAATAAATGGCTTTCTTCCCCAATGTACCTTGCCATGATGTCTGTGCAAGGGAGACAGCCAAACATGGGCTGAATACCCTGAAACTGTGTGCTAAGTTAAACCTCTTCCCTTGTAAATTGTGAGCATTAAATATTATATCTCAGTGAAGAGCAAGCTGATTAGCACAGAAAATTGGTACCAGAGAGTTTGGACTGTTACTGTGATGGGATCGCTCATGTGATTTAGAAACCTTTGAAACTAGTTTGCAGGAGCAGTTTGGAAATGGAGATGCAGACAAGAGAAAGCCATAGAATGCTATAAAGCGCAGGCAGATGGGTGATTCTGGTCAAAGCTCAGAGACCAGAGTGCTGGTAAGAATGAGATCAATGAAGGCCAGGCTTAGGAAGTTTTCAATTGGGAACAAGGGCTCCATTGGTAGCTGCACTGGAGGCCATGGGTGTTAGACTGTGACAAAAAAAAAAAAAAAAAAAAAAAAAAATTGTCCTGGGACTTTGCAACCAGCCATTAAGGGCAGTGGATTAATCTGGTGGATGAAGGAGCCCAATGTTCAGGCTGTGGCATGGGCACTGCAGGCTGCTTTTAGACAAATTTATAGTCACAATAGGGGTTAAAAAGAAAAGCAGAATAATTTAAAAGCTTAACATTTGGCCAAAAAAGGAATCATGTGTAAAGTTGGGACCAAAGGAATTGTGGTTGCTGAAGAGATTAGGGCCACTGAAAACAAACACAAAGTACTTGGTGAAAGGATAACAGCAAAAGTGCCTTGAGAACATATCCATCATTAGCAAGACTCCATCCATCAAGCTCAAGGGCACAGAAATATCAACAACTCATAAGAGAGTCCCTGGACCCTGGCTTGAGAAGAGCCTCTCAGGGAATTGGTTCCCCAGCATTCGGGCCACAGTGCCAAGCCATTCAGGTGCTCAGAGAGTGCAGTAGCCATGGTCCAGGGGCACTGCTTACTGCTTCATCTGGCAGCTGACTTGGCATTGTCCACATGAGACTAGTTTACTAGCATGTGGGATACAAGAACTGTTGGGTCAAGGCAATTTCCACCTAGATTTCAAAGAAAGGCCTGGAAGGCCAGGCAAGGAGCGCCTGGAAGGGTTGTGCTTGGAATGAAGCCAAAAGGTGCAGTGGAGACCCCAGGATATCAGAGAAGCCAGGAGCAGAGAATGTCTGCTGGGGAAAGCCACAGCCCCAAAGGGGAGCCAGCCATGTGGGCTGCAGCCAGCACGGCCACAGGGGTGGGGCCACAGAAGCCCTCTGGAACTCACATTTTACCACCATGCACTGCAGATGCCAGAGGCAGACCTGTAGAACTTACTACTTGCTTGCTAGTTTTTGTCTTGATTTGGTCAAATTCTTTTTCTGTCTCCTGATTGTTCTTTTTTAGAGTAGGAATGTTTATGCTGTGCCGTTATACCTTGATATTATTCATCTTGCTTTTGATTTTTCATAGAGGCTCGCAACTAAGTGCCTTGAGTTTCAAGAGAGACTTAGACTTTTGAAAAATGTTGGAACTGTTGAGACTTTGGGAAATGGATTTATTGTGTTTTAGGTTTTGTGCACGATAGTTGTTACATGTTAGGCACCATTCTGAACTTGTACTTATTGGAGGATTAAATATGGCTTAATGAAGTGGTTTGGGGTATCAGGTTGACAATGGTAGGATGTATGGGTTGAGCTTAATTATGTCAATTTCATTGGCTTGATTGACTTGGGAGACATCTGTGGGACTAACAGTGCACACTTGCCCAGGGGTCATGGAGGCATGACCTTAGGGGCCTAATCCGGCCCTCTGCCCCTCCTTCTCTGGAGCTGAGACCTGCTGTGCTTCCTGGACAACAGGAACTGGGCAGCTTTCCTTTGCCCTGCCACCTTGCTGCCACAATGTCCCTGCCTTGGAGCCAGCTCTAGTGGACAGAATCCCCTGAAACTGGGGGCCAAATAAAACCTCTCCTCTTCTAAATTGTCAGGCATTGCGTCTTAGTGGAGAGAAAGCTAACTAGTACATATGGGTAATAGGGATGTCGTATAATATATGCTCAACAAAGAAGAAAATTATAAATCAGGCATAAGTAATCCCAAATTAAGTGTAAGCTGACATCCCAAAAGAAAAACTAAATGTTTGATGTCCAGAGAAATATAATCAGAAAGGTCCTGGTAGATCTGGAATGGCCATGTAAACAGTATAGCAGACAGATATTTTAAAAACATTGTTGGATTTTGATTTTAAATTTCAAATGAGTTGTCCTAACATTGGTGGAGTTATCAGTGTCCTCTTGCCTCGCTTGAGCATTTGAACATGGAGACTTTGCTAGGATCAAATGGCTCTTTTTAAAGATAAAGTTGAGGCTTTTGTAGATAAATGGATGCAGCTAGAGACTATGTTAGTAAGTGAAATCAAGCCGATCCACATGTGCAAACATGGAATTATCTCGCTAGTGTGAGAACCTGAAAGAATAATGAAAGTCTAAAAGGTGCAGCAGATACTGTGAAAGGGAAAGAAATTGTTCAGTGGGATGAGGAAAAGGACAAATAATAGAAGGGAAAAAATATACTCAGGTATATATGCTGAATAGTTTGGATAAATGTATTGTCGATTTCTGCTGGTCTTTTGAAAAGAGCTTAAAAATAAGTTAATGCTTAAATTTTTTTTACTCTTTTGAATTTCTTATAACTTTTTTGTTATTGTTTTGCCTTTTTTTTTTAAACAAATCTTACCTGTTTATATCTGGTAATCTGAGCAACTAATTTGAAGATGTCACATGTAGTACAGCAACCACTGTTAAATTCCTATTACTTTGTTTACTGAACTTGTATCACTTCTAATGCTTTTTTTTTTCTATCACTATCTTGTATTCTTTGAAAATAAAAAAGACTCTTTGGTAAAACTGAGATGCTCTTTGCCAAAACTTATAGTTTGCTGTTAATAAAATCAACCAACCTGTAATCTCATCACTGAGGTACAATTACCTTGAATATTGCCACTGTATTTTCTTTGACTACATAGGCATACATATGGACTAAAAGGTATCCTATTCTGATCCTCTTTTATAACCTTTCCCTCTTAGAAATGAGTGATAACAGAATTCTTGACTTTACAGCAGAATTAATTATATATATATATATATATATACACACACACACACACACACACACACACACACATACTTTTTATATATTTGGTACAGAGTCTACAGGGTCTCACTACATAGATCCGACTCATAGTGATCCTCCTGTTTTCAGCCTCCCAAGTGCTGGGATTATAGGTGTGCACTGCCATACCCAGTCTCAATCGCTGTCTCAGCAGGCCCCACAGGCAGGGCCAGCATGGCATGCTGGGGATTGAACCCCCAGCCACTGTGCTCTGCCTAAGCAGGCATTTTAGTCCTGTGAGCTATTTGGCCAGCTCTATATTATTATTATTAAGGTCTGTTAGTAATCTATTTTTTTCATCACTAGAACTCATGCTTTTTTAAATAACTGGAAGACTGAAATATCAATTACAGAAGTTTATAATTCAATCTAATTAAAATTTCAACTCATGGTACTTATTTTTTTCTAAACAATCCTATCTCGTATCTTACTGTCATGGGATTTTGAAAACCTTTCCATATATTTATACATCGTGTACCAAAAAGTACTTAAGATGCAATCTTACCCTTATGAACTTTGTAATGGTGGGTCATGATTCCATTGCTTCTGTTACTCTTGCGTTGCCTGCAGCAGTGCCTTACAGGCAGCAGGCGCTCAATAACTGCTTGAGCTCTGTTGGACTAACTGGTAATTTGAATGTCGAAATGACACACTGCTGAGGATAAACTACTAGAACAGTCGTGGCAGAGGATCAATACAGGTTTGTATACTTTAAGGGAAAAATTACCTTAACTGCTGGTAAATGTAGCTGAAAGCTGAATATTTAGTGTTGGTGCCAGGGAAGAAATATTTGTGGGCTATTGTCTGAAGGAGACAATCTTATGTCTATTTATTTATTTATTTTGGTGGAACTGGGTATTGAACTCAGGCCCTTGTGCTTACCAGGCAAGCTTTTATTCTACTGAGCTACTTCCCCAGCCCCCAACTTACGTCTATTCTTGGCAAAGACATAGCCAGGAAGGGAATTTTATTTTATTTTTATTTTTTGTATTTTAGGGAAGGATGTACAGGGTGGTGAGGGTCTCACTACTAGATCAGACTCTACTGATTCACCTATTTACAGCCTCCCAAGGGCTGGGATTACAGGCGCATGCTACCACGCCCAATTTCAATCACTGTCTTGTGTGCCCCGGAGGTGGGGCCAGCTTGGCAGGCTCAGGGATGGAAACCCTGCCCTTGCGCCGGCTTGCAGGTACTTTAATCCGCTAGGCTATTTGGCCCTAGGAAGGGAATTTAAAAAACTATCACAAAATCTGGAGTATAGGCACTCATCAAAGTAAACAAACAAAAAACTAATAAATTTCTAAAGTTTACATACAGGAAAACTAAAGTGTGTAAGACAAGTGTCTGAAAAAGATTTTACACAATATGCATATTGAATATTCTTAGTCTAATAATATGAAATTCAAACAGCCTTAGAATGCAACACTTTTTGAGCTCCAAATTGATTCCATAGAAGGAAAGTTACACATCCTCAAATCTTGTTTCAAGCACAGATTATTAAAAATGTATTAAATAACCTTCAGGTTATATGTATAAGATATACATGAAATATAAATAAATTTCATTTTTAGACATAGGCCTCACTCCTGAGATAATTTATGATGTATTTGGAAATATTTCAAAATCCTAATTTCTGAATTCTAAAACACTTCTTTTTTTTTTTTTTTTTTTTTTTTTTTTTGGTGGAACTGAGGATTGAACTCAGGCCCTTGCGCTTGCCAGGCAAGTGCTTATTCTACTGAGCCATCTCCCTGGCCCCTTCTAAAACACTTTTAACCATTTCATTTGAAGGACACTCAGCCTGTGTGTAAAAACTATAGGATTGTAGGGTGTGTGTTATTCAAGTGGTCACAGATTTAAAATTACTAAAGTAAGCAAAGCTGGAAAAATATGAACATATAACATTTTGAACAGTATTGTTAGAGTTATAAAAATCTGTATTTCATTATGAAACTGACAAGTACAAAAAAAAATAAATAAAGGTAAACCTTATAGACCTCAAATGGGATATTTAGGGAAAGAAACATAGGATGGGAATCAATTCTTAACCTCTCAGGATGCGAAAGAAAGCATCTAGATTCATCATGAAGGAGCTCTTCTGTATGCATCACAAGAGAGCAAGGGTTTCCAATCCCCTTTCTTTTCTTTCTGGGGGACGTTTTATATTTGTCATGATGAATAATTATGTTTAGTCATTGACAGACAGGTTGACATTATCGTACCACTTTTTGGCTTCACAAATTCCCCAGAGAATATTGCTCTATATCATTTGTCTGTCACATTTGGAATTAAGAACTACTAAGCACATAGGCAAGGTAAGGCATAGCCTGAAAATTTCTGATCTTGTTCCAGTCGTGAATATGATCAAAAGTGTTTGAAAAATGGTGGCATAGAATGTGTTTCCCAGTTGTTACTGGAGAACATTTGCTTGTTAAATCCGTGAGGTAGTGTTGGCTTTCAAGTTACATTAAGCTCAAACTCAACAGAACAGTGGCTGTGGGAAGAAAGTTAATAATTTACCTTGGTAGTGAATAACCAACAGGACTTAAAAATATTTAGCATTTTCAATTATAATTGATGTCCCTGAAAAAAGCCAGAGTGTGTTTGTCTAAATGAGCCTTGAGGTATAATGAGATTTGATTTCGGTTTGTACTGTTTTTCATTATTGTTTGTGAAACTTTTACAAGGGTTTTATAATTAAGTTGGTTTTTAAATAAAATCAGTTTTGAGGGAAAACAAGAACAGGAGAAAAGAATAAATTTGTGTTCCTTTTCATCTTGCTAATGAGGCACAAGGCTTTTTATAGAATTTTGCTGCCACCTTAAATATATTCAGTTATTTTGGGACATCTTTTAAAACAAATAACTAGGGTGACCAAGAGTGGACATACGATGAAGCTTTCTGGAGAAAGAATGATAAAGTACAGTAGGCCCCTCATCTACAGAGAGCATGTTCCAAGGCCCCACGGAGTGGACCAAACCCAATGTATGCTCTTTTTTTTTTCTAGACATACACATGGATGGTAGAATTTAGTTTATAAATTAGTCACATAAAACACGTAACAGATACTAATAATAGAATAACTATAATGATGTAATATAGTAAGTTATTTAAAACATATAAATGGCCTATTTCTGGTCTTCCATTTGCTCTTTTTGGATTGCATTTGACCACTGGTAACAGATACTGTAGGAAGCAAAACTTTGGATAAGAACCACTGTGTCTTCACTCTCAGTGGCTGGTGAAAGGCTCCATGGTGGAGCACAGACCCCAGGCACGAGATGGCCTGTTTTTGTTTTTGTTTTTTTTTAATGTATTTGGTACAGGGTTTCATGATACAGCTCAAAGTCCTAGTGATCCTCCTCTTTTCAGCCTCCCTGGCACTGGGATTACAGGGGTGTACCACCAAACCCAGTTTCAGTGCCCAGCATGGCACGCCCAGGGTTCCAGGGCTGCCACAGCATGCAGTACCGGGAATCAAACCTGGGTCCTTGTGCATGGCAAGCAAGCACTTAGACTGCCAAACTATCTCCAAAGCCTACAATTGCCTGTTTTAGACTAACTTTCTTTTCTTCTTTCTTTCTTTCTTCCTTTTTTTTTTTTTTTTTTTTTAATGTATTTGGTACAGGGTCTCACTACACAGCTCAGATGTGTAGTGATACTCCTGTTTTCAGCCTCCTCAGTGCTGGGATTACAGGCACGTGCCACCATGCCCAGGCTGATGGTCTGGTTTTATACCCATGCTCTGCTTATGGTTGTATAACTTCAGGGCAGTTATCTCCTCCCCTCAACTTAGTTTCCTCTTCCAAAGCATGTAATAATAACATTTGAAGCATTCTTAACATAGTTTTATAATATACACTGGTTACATACATGATTTTAGTTATATTATTTTGCTGGCACCAAAACCCATCTCATATTACCAAACAAGAGTCCTCATTGGTTAGTGCACGGAGCAGGAGAATCATGGGAACCCAAAGTTAGGTTCACTTAGCTTCATGGAATCTAGTACAAGTTTGAAACCTAGGGGCCTTCACTGAATAAAAGAAGGGAAGCCCTTTTTTCTTCTTTGCTAGTCACATTCTATTCACTTGTTTGCCATTTTCTATTTTTTGGTTGACTTCCTCTTATTAGTCTTTTTTCATTCATAACTTTGCTGATTCTGAGAAACCCAGTCAGATTAGCTCAAGGTATTGGTATGAGCCAGAACACTCACATCAAAGGAAATATCTACCTGTGAAATAGCTTGTTTTGGAACAGTGATCACTGCTGCCCCTGGTCACGGTCAGGTTAACTGCTAGGACTCCTGGGCACAAGGGAACTAGGGGCAGAACAGCTGTCGTGGCTGCTACCTTTGGTTTAAATATTGATGGGATGACCAACATGTCCTCTATATAGATACAGAAATTCTTATGTCTAAATACAGAAATATACATACAGAAATTCTTATATCTAAAGAATGTATTTCTAAGAACAAATAACATGTACATAAACCTTGCACTTACACTGACATATAAAAAAATCTTCAGATTGTTTGTGAGTCCCCAGTAGAAAGTATTAGTAGGTATGAATAGGGTCAGCTTACAAATGATAGCTCATTTCTGACCTCTCTCACTTTCCACTGAGGAAGAGAAGTTACATCTAGAATTTGGTTTATTGGAAGTACAGAAATTTTAGGAAGATGCAAAAATATGTTTTGTATTTGGCAGTGCTTTAGGATGCCTTTAGAGTTCTAGATTTTTTTCCTGTAGTCATGCAAGAGGGGAAAGTCATAATGGGAGTTGTGAAGTGAATATTTGTATTAAAACTCATTGCTCTTAACCTTTCTTTCACTTTGGCTTTTATAGCTTTTGACCATATTTGGGAATTTTCTAGAGAAACCAGTTGTCATGGAAATTTTCAGCCCACATTACAGCACACTGGTGAACATGATTAATGCAGAGTTGGACGTGTGTAAGCACTTGTATAATGAGCACATCCAGCAGGTAAGTGGTGGTGAAGGTGAGCACATCCACAATGTAATTCTCAATGAGTAATGCTGTCAACTAGAACTACATTTTATTGTACTTAAGTATTAGAGGCAGTAAAGCTCATGCTTTATTTATTGGTTTCCTTATGGAGAACTTAGTTTAGAACCGTATCCCTTCTATCCATATACATATAGTTATCATAGATATATATATATAGATATATATATATAGTTATCATATATACATCTATAGGTATCATGTATACACATATACAGTTATATGTATAGGTTTGTTTCCTAAGTTATATTTCTGTCCTATAGTTATTCCCCCCCACACTAGGTAGTGAGCCATTCAGGGCAGGGCCCTTTTCATTTCTTCCTTGTGTTTTATACATATACATATACGATACACACACACACACACACACACACACACACACACACGATGAACAATTGCTTCCAAGATGGAAGGCATCCTAATTGTTCTCTGTCTTCCTCTTTACCAAAATATCAACTTACAGATTGAACATGGACATGTAGTTCTTAACAAGAATATGCCATATGCCTCTGGGAATATCAAATGGGCCAAAGAGGTCCTTGGACGCCTTCAAACATTTTGGTCAAATTTTGTATCTCTTCGTTATCTGTAAGTAGTCAAGCTTATTACATGGTCAGTTATTGTAATATTAAGGGTGGTTTTTATAGATCAAGAAGAAGCTGTTCCACTTAGGAAGTTGTTGGCTTATCTCATTTTATCTACTTGCTGAATGTGTTGAGGGAAGTATTATCATGGCTTTGGAATATTTTTGGTAAGATTCGTAACATCATATGTTTATGTGTTTTCAGGTCTATTTTTCATCTCACATTTCCTTTTTATTCATGTTTAGTTGTGTTGTTATATTTTCTTTCTCAAATAATGACACCCTGTATTATGCAGTCTTCTGTGCCTTTTTCATATTTGTGTAGAAATTGGCAACTTATTGCTATTAATTACTTAGTAAAATCTCTGGAGTTCCATCCATTATGGCTATATACATATTATTTTGTATTTACAGCATCTTATTCATTATTTATGAGTATTATCTTAAATATGTTATATTGTAAAATAAGCTGAAATCTGTCATCATACAGAGAAGTTGAAAAAAATTTTTTTTGAAAAATCTTATTCCTCCAGATTCTCAGACTATCCTGATGAAGCTATCATTTATCAGAAGTACACTGAAATGACTGCTTTGCTAGACCAATTTGAAAATTATGTCTATAATGAATGGAAAAGTAATGTGGATGAAATCTGTGAATTCAACTTGAATCAACCCCTAGCTAAATTCAGTGCCATAAATGGTCTTCTTAGTGTCAACTTTGACCCAAAGGTAGGGATTTGATTTTGTAAGTTGTTTTATAGAGATGCTATTCTTATCATAAATGTATTGCTCAAATACTTCCTAAAATACTTGTATTTTTAACAATGACCTATTTGTTTGGGAAAAATGTTAGTGCTGTGAAGAGTAAGTTTTTGTTTTATAGGTTTGTTTCCTAAGTTATTGTATTTCTGTCCTGTAGTTACTCCTCTCCCACATGTAAACACTAGGTAGTGAGCAGCTAAGAGCAGGGCCCTTTTCATTTCTTCCTGTGTTCTGCCATTTTAGCCGAGTGTCTAACACTTGAAACATTTAGGAAATGGTAGATCCACTGACTTGAATCATTAGTTTTTACCAGATGGCTTCTGGCTTGAATATGTTTATAATTTATACTCATTTTTATAGTAAATTAAAACTTTAGCATGTAAGTTAAGATGTGGGGAATCCACAGAGTAAATGGTATGAAGACCAGTCATGCTTTGGGTGTGCAGGAGTAAATTTCTATCTGTCATACATCCCTTCAAAGAGAAAATAAGCTGGGATATAGTGGTTAAATTGATGATAATTTAAAATATATTTTTATTAAAAACATTAATATGGAAAATATACCATTTAAATATCTATAATGTCTGTTGCCTTTATTGAACAGATTTGTTGTCCCACTGATGCATCATAAAATAAAGGGAAATTTCATGTTTTCTCAATAATTTCTCCTTATGCTGCATGTTATATACTACAAATAATTTAGAAAACAGTTATTTATTTATTTATTTATTTATTTATTTATTTTGTGGTACCAGGGATTGAACTCAGGCCCTCAAGCACTTATTATACTGAGCCATCTCCCCAGCCCCCAAAGTTTTTTTGTTTTTTGTTTGGCAGAACCAGGAATTGAACTCAGGCCCTTGTGCTTGCCAGGCAAGCGCTTATTCTGCTGAGCCATCTCCCTGGCCCTTGTATATAGATTCTAAAGAATTTATTTCCAAGATTTTTAGCATGCTAAATATAAGGTCCAAAATAAGCTTTATCTTTCATTTATTTACCACAGATATGTTACGTGAAAAACAAGCTTATTTGTAAGTCTCCATGGCCCAAAAGTAAGAGGTAGTTTATGCATATGGCTGGCTTCTTAGGTACCGGAGACTGTTCAGTAGTGACTAATTGCCTGGGGTCTTTCCTGGCAGTACAGATGGAAGTACTTTCCTGGGAAGCGGGAGACTTAGCCTGAGTTTGCATTAACCTTGACCTGTTTCCTTAAAGTATATACTTACGGAATTATTTTATTTTGCAAACAAAATAATACATATACTTAAACATTTCACCTAGGAAACTGAGCTTCCTTCTACCTTCTGATTTATTAAAACCAGTTTATAGAAACTAGTTTCTTGAGATATTTTATGGAGACTCAGATTACCCCTGATACAAGCACCATATGTTTATTTTCCCTCTGAAAGAAACTATGGCAGAAATAGATGATTGCCCACCATGAAATTTTAGGTAGCTTAAAAACCTAATGTGTGTTATAAATATAATACGGCTTATACACTTCTACTGCATAGAACTTGGGCTAGGATAGAATGATACTCCATTTAGTTTTTGGGTTTTGGTGCTGGAGATAGAACCCAAGACCTCTTACATGGTACGCAAGTGCTCTACCATTGAGATATACCTCCATCTTCCTAAAATGCCATGATAGTTTATGATAAACCATAATCCTTGATTGTCGTTGACTAGCTGGTGGCAGTACTAAGAGAAGTGAAATACCTTTTGATGCTCAAGAAACAAGACGTACCAAAATCAGCTTTAGCCATCTTCAAGAAAAGGAACACTATTTTAAAGGTTTGTATTTTTAGAGGCAAGTGCTAGGGGCATCTTTTGAGTAGAAATAGTCTGAATTTTAATTATTAGCATGATGTAGAAAAGAGCTAACATGTTTGGCCCTTTGTGTTTGGGGTTTTCTTTGCTCAGTACCTTGGTAACCTAGAACTTCTTGTGCGAGGGTACAATAAGCTGAAACAAAGCCTTCTGGAAGTTGAATACCCCCTGATCGAAGAGGAGCTGGCAGCCCTTGACAAGAGGCTGACAGCAGCGACCACATGGCTGACCTGGCAGGATGACTGCTGGGGGTATGTGGAGGAGGTGCTGGCAGCCACAGCTGAGCTCGAGTGCAGGGTTGAGCACACACAGAGCAACGTGCACCGGATCCAGCAGACCATGCGTGCCTGGGCTGAGTGTCCGCTCCTCTCCAGGCGGGAGCTACGCAGGGAGGCAGCCTTGACTTTGGAGGACAAGGGCGATCTATTTGCTAAGAAATACAAGTTAATCCAGGAAGACGGCTGCAAGATACACTACCTGGTAGAGGTAAGTAGTGTTACATCTCCAAATCATGGATCTTTTCTTGTAATTTCAAGAAAACCAAAATACTTACTGTTACATGTGGTATTCTTTTATGGAGGCTGAAAATGCTCTTTGAATGGTTATCTTAAGCAATGGATGTGGAAGAACTTCCTTCCCAAGCAGCTGACATCGCAGGCCTGTACCACCACAACAAGCCCTCCTGTTTTTCTGTGTTGTTTCCTGTTTTCTCTTAAACTGATTACCCTAGAATAGTGCTTGTTTCTATTTGAAGAAATAAGATATTTGTTAAAAGCAGAGCTACTTATGTTGCTTTCCCTAGGAGATAGCTGAGAAGTTTGCTAAGAGGATATTAATAAGGTATCTGACATTCGGCAAAGTGTGGCCTAGCATTCAAACTGGGAGCAACTCTGGCAAGGACGGTCCACCTCTCGCCTTTCTGTTTGATCAAAACATCTCTCACAGTGATCCCTTATCCTCAGTAAGGAGAGTAGTAAGGGCTGCAGAAAATGGAGGCAGGAAATTCTAGTCAGGGAAGACAGGAAAGGAAAAAAAGTGTTATACATGCATGCCTATGCATATGTACCCATATGTATATATATCTATATCAGTTGTAGCAGAAAGTGATGAAAAATAGAGCAGAAATGATGGGTAGGGCGAGCAGAGCTGGTAAGGGGAGGTAGGTTTATATTGGAGGGGGTGCTTGAGAATGCCTCTTTACCAAAGCAGCATTTCTGCAGAGAACTGGAAGGGGCCAGAGTATTGTGTATGTTGGCAGGAGGCTGCCTTAGCACGAGAACAAAAGTGTCAAGGCAGAGCATCCTGTGGAGATCATTTTGAGATCCGGCATGCCTGAAACAGGGTTTGTGAGGGGAAGAGTGGGAGGAAATGGCATTTGGAAGGGCCTGGGACCACATCTGTATTAGTCAGCTTTCCCGTGGCTGGGCTACAGTGCCTACAACTTAAAGGACAAAAGGTTTAATTTGGCTCACAATTTTGAGGAAATTCACTCCACAGTCGGCAGGCCAAAAGGCAGAAACAACACTGAGGAAGGGCAGGGGGGAAGAAAGCTGCTTGGTTCATGATTGCCTGGAAACAGAGCAGGAGAATAGCACCAGGGCAAAAGAGGCTGGGGACCAAGTAGAGCAGCCAAGGTCATGTCTCTGTGACACTCCCATTGATCTCATGTGGCTCCCAAGCTAGTCCAGGAGACACAACATTGCAGGGGTTTTGTAGCTGTTCCGAGGACTCTACCTTTCACTGTAAGGGAAACAGCAGCTGGAGACTTTGTGCTCATGGGCTTTCCCTGTTCCATGTAATACAAGGTGGAGCAAGGAAGTGGTAGACAGAGAGACTTTTAGGGTCTCTTAGACTGTGAGAGACTCTTCGACTCTGAGCGTCCAGGTGAGAAAGGGCACCTTGGGTCTGGCGGAACTGACCAAGGTTATTTGTAATCTAGATATATTTTAAAGGCAGAGCCAGCAGAATTTTCCCTGGGGAGTCAGAAAAGAGAGAAGTCAAGGTTGACTTTGGGGTTTTTGATTTGTGACAGAGCTGACTGGATGGGAAACAAGCAAGATTTAGCTTTCTGTGTGTCAGATTTTGGGAGCACAAAGTTTGCTGAAATGTCACATGGATGGTTGGCAAAAGGCATATTCTTTGTGTTTGAATAAGTTTGGAGGATAATTGAACCAAACCAAATTCAATGAGTTTGCTATAGTAGGTGCATGTGAGTCCTCAAGAATAAGCACAGCGCTCCCCTGACGGTGTCTTCAGATACCCAGAACAGTATTTCGGGAAGGACAAGGTGGAGAAATCTCTTCAGTGATAGGCAGATCCCTGGAAGGCGGAGTCCAGAGCCATGCAGGATTAGAGACAGGGTAAGAGTTAGTATGCAGGTCTAGGATTTCATTGAGACCTAGTGTTATAAGTATTTGAAGACAAAAATCTTCATACTGATTTTGTTTCTAAAGGACTTCTAAATGCATACACCATGTGGCCTGAATGTTGTACAATCCTTAGTCTTTGTCATGTAGCTTCAGATTCTGCATTGTAGCATTTAAAAGTTCCTGTGCTATGCACAAAAATAGTCTTTTCTTTAAGAAGTCATTTAAGCAGAAAGCTTTTATTTTTATAATCATCGTTACTATTCATCTATTATCACCTGTCTGTTTCCAGGAGAACAGGAAGCTCTTCAAAGCCAATCCTTCTCTGGATGCCTGGAAAATTTATGTAGAATTCATTGATGATATTGTTGTGGAAGGCTTTTTCCAGGCTATCATGCATGACTTAGACTTTTTTCTGGCGAATACAGAGAAGCAATCAAAGCCTGCACCATTTCTTCAAGCACAAATGATTTTGATGCCCCCTGAGATTGTGTTTAAACCTCCCTTAGAAAGAGAGGCTGGAGATGGTGTCTATGATCTGGTGGAAGAGATGTTGTGCAGTAGTTTCAGAATGTCTGCCCAGGTGAAGCGAGTAGCAGCACATCTGGAGATGGCAAATTACCAGGTATATTTTTGTGAAAGACACTGGCTTTTATTGTAATGATTTGCTAATGTGTGGTAATGGGAAACACAAAGAAATAAGTTGCTAAAAGAAACAATGGTTTTTCTTTTGGCAGAACCAGGGATTGAACTCAGGCCCTTGCGCTTGCCAAGCAAGCGCTTATTCCACTGAGCCATCTCCCTAGCCCTGAAACATGATGTTTTAATTTTGTTGCCAATCGCTCTCTTTTTGAAGAACTGCCTTAGATAATATTAGGTTGCCAAAATTGTTAACACAAATTTACTTTGCATAAGTGCTTAGTTTTCTTGTCCTTTAGAATGATATGGATACCATGTTAGGCCTGGCAGAGGCCAGGCAGGAGATAATGAGCAGAGTGGGTGATGCCATCAACAAAGTCTTGGACTTCAGAAATTCCTTGGAGACCTATGCTTACCTCTGGGTGGATGACCGGACGGAGTTCCTGAAGCATTTTCTCCTGTATGGTCACACTACATCATCTGAGGAAATGGACGCTCATGCAAATGAGGACATTTGCGAACAGCCACCAACTCTTGAACAATTTAAAGAACAGGCAAGGAAAAACCCTTTCCACTGGATGTAATTGGCTTTTCATGGCACTGTTACAGTTACCTTTTTTTCTATTCTGTAGATCGACATTTATGAAGCTTTGTATGTTCAGATGAGCCAGTTTGATGACTTCAGAGTCTTCAATAGTTGGTTCAAGGTGGACATGAAACACTTCAAAGCAACCCTGCTAAATGTGATTAAGAAATGGAGCTGGATGTTTCAGGAGCATCTTTTGAGATTTGTCATTGACAGGTAGCCTTTGTACTTTGGTATTTGGAGTTTTACTGACTTTTGTTAAGAATCAACTGGGTTCTAATGGAGGGGTTAAAGAACATTAATAGTGCAGATTACATAATAGAGCTAGTGAGTAATGTTTAATTGGGTAAACACTGAAAATAAAATTCAACTCAGCTACTAAATCTCATAATGAACTTTGCCTGTGTACATATATTTTAATAGTCTGAATGAGCTGCAGGAATTTATGAAGGACACAGATGCAGGACTTCAGAGAAAACTGAATGAAGGAGACCATGATGGTTTAGTTGACATCATGGGACATCTGCTAGCTGTAAGAAGCCGACAAAGAGCTACTGATGAACTCTTTGAACCTCTGAAGGAAACCATCACACTCCTGGAAAGCTATGGCCAGAAGATGCCTGAGCAAGTCTACATTCAGCTGGAGGTTGGTAGAGGACCACAGATTGAGCACCGCCTCAATCAAGGGCATGAACACTCTTAGGACAGCCATGTAACCATCTATACTGTAGACATTCATGTGTTCACTTTATAGATTAAGAAGATGAAACTTTAAAAATTACACTTTGGGGATGGGGAGATAGCTCGGTGGTCTAGGCACCTGCTTGGCAAACACAACGACCCCAGTTCAATCCCTGGTACCATCTGCTGTGCGAGCCCTGGAACCGCTGGCCCCGAAACCCCCTCTCCTCTGAAACCCAAAACTGGGTGTGGTGGTGCACACCTGTAATCCCAGCACTGAGGAGGCTGAGACTGGAGGATCGCTACAAGTCCATGCTGCATAGTGAGACCCTGTACCAAATAAATAAATAGATTTTTTTTTAATTACACTTTTTCAGGGTCACACAGGAAGCAAAGCCAGTCAACGCTCAACTCTAGATGTTTTATGACAAAAGAATCATGCCTACCCGCTGTGTTCCACTGCCTTCCTGGCAGATATTGAGGCTGTAGGAAGCCTTCAGTTACTCTTCTCAGCCTGTTTTGCCATAACTTTTTCCCGTGGAGTACATCAGTACTCTTTTTCATTCAGAATTGCCTGACCTTGGAAACAAGTCTTGGGCATGTTAGTAAAGAATAAAAAAGATGAAGCCTGATTTGGATGCAGAAATCACTGTCTCCCAAAGAGATTTCTGTGTTGTCATCTTGTTTTCTATGCTCTGTTTGGTGGCTGCTATATGCTGGGGATGGACAAAGTTTAAAATTATGCCTGAAATCATGAGTGAAGAGCTCACCATTGAGCTGTGTTCTCATGCTATATTGAAGTTCTGTAGATGGTATTGTGTAGTGTGGGCTTCCAGGCTGGCCTTCCATTTACTGTGTAAATATGAGAACAGTGAACACATTAACCGGAACTTTCATGGGATTCCAGTTTAGTGGTCAGAGACCAGAAGTGGAAGCTAGATGGGTTTTCACATACTGTGTAAGGCCATCTCATCTGTTTAGCACAGATAGTTAAGATCTTAGAGAATGCTTCCTTCTCAATAAAATATTTCTTGTGATTCGTTAAAAATGTTTTTGTCTATGGCTAGCCAAATAGCTCAGCAGATTAAAACACCTGCAAGGGGGCGCAGGGGCTGGGGCTCCATCCGGGGCACTGCCTCCAGGGTGCACTGAGATGGCAATTGAGACTGGGCGTGGTGGCACACACCTGTAATCCCAGCTCTTGGGAGGCTATAAACAGGCAGATCACTGTGAGTCTGATCTAGTAGTGAGACCCTGAACACCCTGTAGACTCTTCCCTAAAAGACAAAAACAAAAAAAAAAGTTGTTGTCTCTACTACTTCCCTCCAAGTTTTTACTTTCTATTCTTTTATTCAGATGAAATTTACAAAAGTAACATTTTAAGTTGTACAAATCAGCATTTAGTATACTCTATTTACAATATTTTACAGTCGCTGCTTCTATTTAGCCGCAAAAAATTTCCTCATCCCAAAAAGAAACCCAATACCATTTAGTTGTCAGAAACCCCACTTTCTCCTTCCTGCCCAGCCATTCCCTACCCTGTAATCCTAGTAACCCCCATGTTTGTCTGTGTCTGGTTTCCTTATTCTTGATATTATTTTATGAATGGAATTATACCATATACAGCATATTGTGTGTTTGGCTTGTTTCACTTGACTTACATAATGTGTTCAGAGTCCATTCACTTGTATCAATACTTCATGCCTTAATAATAGGCCATTTTGTACTTATACTGGAATTTGATTACCCGTTCATCTGTTGATGGACATTTGGGTGATTTCCATCTTTTTTTTTTTTCTGTTGTGAATAGTATTGCTGTGAGCATTGATGTTTAAGTATTTGTTTGAATTCTGTTTACCTCAGGTTTTTGTTTTATATATACATTGGGAATGGAATTACTGGATCCTATAGTACTTCTGTACTTTTTGAGAAGTGCCACTCTGGTTTTCACAGCGACTGTCCACTTTAAGTCCCTCATTTTGTTTTGTGAGGTTTAAATGCAACAATGTGTTTATGAATCCCCCCTTGACTCTACTATAAAAAATTACTATGTATAAATTACTAAATTCTAGGTAAGTGCTGTATAGAAATGGTCCCAGGGCTGCCAATAGTATTGGGACAATAGCAGTGAGGTGACTGGCATGGACAGAAACAGACCAACAGGTGACGCACTGTAGCCACTGCAGCACCAGCCATAAGTAGTGCTTCTCTATGTACAGACTTGGATGTTCTTCCTGCCAGAGTTTGTACCTGGTCAGTCACCTTCCTCTTGCTGCCACTCCATGTTGATGCCCACAACTTAAAGGAGAAGAGGTTAGCTTGGTTCCAGTTTTTAGAGGATTCAGGCCAAATCTGCTGGCTCCAGAGCAGGAAGGGTCTGGTGCAGGCAGGCAGAGGAGAAGCACTGGAGGGAGATACACCAGTCTGGGGCCACACTGCCACCAATCTGCCACTTCTGAGCAGATCCCACCTCAGCACACGCAGCTGTAGCAGGCCTCCAGCCACTCACCTTCCTAAAGCTCACCTCTGAGTACACTGGGCTTTAGGAAGGCATCTTAGGTCTAGATTATAAAAGACCTTGAGATAGAGACAAGCCAACCAAATCATCAATAATTGATGAGGGGGATTTTAGCCATGGGTTCCAGTATTTATATTATGAAAATCTGGTTCACTTTTTCTGGTTCTGGTGATAAGAAATTGCTAGATTTTTTTAGTATTTTGAAAGCAGGATACTTTGAATTATATATATTACTATGCTGGCTATTTAGGTTGGTTGGGAGGGCAAAAAATAAGATTCCAGTTGCATATAAAGGGTAATAGGATGCTAATTTCATTTTAAAGTAACTTGTGATAATTACTCTACTTCTCCTTCATTTTCATGTTATAGCATTTTCTAAATTCTTGTCTGTGTTCTGTGCTTAAAAAGACCCCTAGAAGTGGCTGTATTCTTAGGAATCCAAGGATTAGTTTCTGAAATTCAAGCAAATTTACCAATAACTAGGTTGCTTCTGGGTGCAGCATCTTTTCACTCGTGTAGTATTTTTTAAGGGAATTAATATAATAGTTTTTTTTAATTTTAAAGAAAAAATACAAAAAAAAAAAAAGAGAAAATACCACAATAATCCAGAAGTTAGAATTCAGTTCTTGTTACTTCTTATCTCAGCCACAGTAATCATTTCTTAATTTACTGCATCCTTCCTTGGCCCTATCTGCAGTCCACTGTGGTGCAATTGGAGCTCTAATTTACAGGTTTAAAGTCCTTCCTGCTCAGAAACCTTCTTTGGCTGCCACTAGCTTTGTGGCTATTTCACTGTCCCTAGGTGTCCATACTGTCGCCCCACTCTGTGGAGAAGTAGTTACACCTGAAAGGACTTGGCATTGATCTGTTAAACCATTCATTCCTTTCAGCCTCAGATTCAATATGACCTCTTTGAGAGGGTAGTGTCAGTTGGGTAGACCTTGGCAGTTTTCTGACCTTTTGATTTTCAAGGCAATTTATTTTTGTCAGGTGAAAGCCTGTTTGGGATCTCTACACATAAAGCAGATCTGCTGTATTTGAAGACATGGCCTCTCCCTGGCTTTCCAGCTGGGGCCTCTGAAAGGATTCCATATCATACGGGAGCTCCATGGAATGGATTTGAGCACATAGATGAAGGCCCTTACAGATTAGGATAGAGGGCTTTGAGGAGAGGAAACATGGTGGCTTGTGAGTCCAGGGCTCTTGGTTCCTGACTGGTTAGGTGGTCTTCCTGTCAGTACACCGGCTTTGTCTCCCATTTTGGTTCTATGACGCATAAACCTGCTGGTGACAGGTAACATATTATGTCATGTAGAATAGCTATTGTTTGTGCCTCTTGCTAAGATTTTATAATGATTTCAGTCAAAAAATATATTTTACTCTGAAGCATCTCCTCTACTGTACAAATATTTATACTTACCACAGTGTTCTCTTCCTAATTGGCAGTTACTGAATCATTCATAAATATTTATTGAACGTTACAAAATAGTTTGCAGAACCTTTGAATTTTGCACTTTAGCTAAACAAGGAGAGTCTGGTCACTATGGACGATCGTACAACAAAACAATTTCGGTGTCCCAGGAGATGATCCTGAGAAACAATGTTTTGTTAGCCTGGAGGCAGGAGTGCTTTTCAATGGTAATTATGCACCAGGGCTCTTCCAAGAAAGTAACTTGCTTTTGACTTGTTTGCACTAGGAACAGGGAAGACAGAATTGAGTTGATACCTGAACTATTTATTGATTCTTTTGTCAAATATGGAGTAGGAATTAACTTCTTTTCCTTTTGCCTGGACTCTGTTTCTCAACTCCTGGTTCTCTGAAATAAACCAACTTTAGTGATTGACATCAGGAAAGTGTCCATGCAGAGCCCAGGGAGCCCGGAGAAAGCGAGGACTAGACTGAGTGGCATTTTCGTCTCTGCTCCACCAGATTCAAAGCATTTTTTTCTTATTAAATTGCTAAATATGGTTGGTTTCCATTTCTAGTTATCAGAGTTGAGCAAAGTCATTTCCAGAGCAATTTAATTTTGTTCTCACAACAGCAAAAAGTTTGAAAATTGTCTTTATTTTGAAAAGATTTCCACTGATTCTGACTGGAAAGTATGAACCCAGAAAGGCCGGCAGGTCAGCCTATATTTTAACCCTGGCTCTAAGCCCCGGAATGTTAATTCCTTTTTCCTTCCCCTCCTCCTCTCCTCCTCCTCTCCTCCTCCTCTCCTATTTTTTCCTCCCTCAGATAAAATGTTTATACAAGTATAAAAAGGTGTCATGGGTTAGTGTAAATAAATTAAAATTATTTAAACTTATAGTATTGAGTTATTTTAGGAATTGAACTAACTTCCCATTTGTACCTTTTTTTTTTTTTTTCAAGGAATTACCTGAAAGATGGGAAACAACCAAAAAGATTGCAGCAACAGTTAGACATGAAGTCTCGCCTCTCCAGAATGCAGAAGTCAGTCTTCTACGGAAAAAATGTATTTTATTTGATGTAAGCCAGTTATCAAGTTTTTGTTTGCTTATTTTTAAGAAAGGCTTTACAGAGATTATTGAAGCTTTTTTTTTTTTTTTTGAGATTTGTGTTTTTCTCCCCCTACCAGGAAAAGCAGGCAGAGTTCCGAGAGAGATTCAGAAGCTGCTCCCCTCTTGGTTTTAATGCAGAAAACCCATATACTGTGCTTGATAAGGTAAAAAAGATCTCAGATTTCTTATATGACATCTACTTTAGAAGCTAAATTTAGACACGGATATATTGCTATATTTTACCTTATGTTTGCCATTAGCTAAGCAAGTTCAGGACTTTAAAAAAATCCAGTTAGAATTAGTTTTCATTGAGAAAATTACAGTGTGTTTTCAATCATGTGACCCAAAAACATTGCCACCATCAAAGCTACTGCTGTTTTTCAGTTCTTAATGTGTATCAAGAATTCTGCTAGATATATTGCATTTTGTTCTCAAAATCTTTCTGTGATACAGGTTGTATTGCTGTTCCTGTTTTAGATAAAAACAATGAAAATTACATCCTGAAAAAGGAAATCAAGGAAGACATGGGATTTGAAACATTAGCCAGAGCAGCCAGGCAAAAGAAAGAAAAGAGATATATCAGGAATGGAAGAAGTCTAAGTACCCACCTGTAGATGATATGATCCTTTACTTACCAGGCCCCAAAACTCCACCAAAAGACTGCTAGACTTGATAACTAAATTCAGCAGTATAGCAGGATACAAAATAAACACAAAAATCAATAGCATTCCTATGCAATCATAACAAACTCAATGAAAAATAGGAAAACAGTGACATTAACAATAACATCAAAAATGTAAATACTTAGGTATTAGTCTAAGGAAGTAAAACACCTCTATAATGGAAAGTGTGTTAGACTGAAAAAGGAAATCAGAAAATGGAAAAATATCTTCTGTTCTTAATTAGGAAAAACCAACACAATCAAAATGGCTATCCTTCCAAAATTGATGTATAGATTTACTATGATCCCAATCAAAATACCAGTGTTATTTCTCATAGAGCTAGAGAAAAGAAATTTAAAATTTATATGGAATCTGAAGAGACCCAGAAGAGCAAAAGCCATCCTGGGTAGCAAAGTAAAGCAAGCAGCTAAAAAATCCCAAATTTAAAGTTATGCTTGTAGGGCTACTGTGACTGAAACGGCGTGGCACAAGCACAGAAACAGACATGTGGATTAGTGGAACAGACTAGTGTGTGATGGAAAACCCTTTAGAATGTTCAGTGATGACAAAACAGCTAGCCGTGGCACCTGAGCCATAGTTTCTTCACGACTGGACTAGAGGATGCAGAAGACCCAGGTACATCAAGCTGGTGTTTGACTTAGATGTAAAAACACACACTGGAGGACAGATAGCCTCTACTAAATGGTTCTGGGAAAATTGGATGTCTATGTGCAGAAGATTGAGTTTAGATCCATGTATCTCACCATGTGTGAAAGTCAAAATGGATCTGAATGTTAGAAACACAATCTTCTGGAAGATACAATAGGCACAACTCCTAGAAATATGGCATAGGCCAGCCAGATAGCTCAGTGGATAAAAGTGCCTGCTTAGGCAGATGAAGGAGCCAGGAGTTTGATTCCTGGCCTACTGCGCTGACCCTGCCCCTTGGGGTGGGCTGAGACAGTGATGGAGACTAGGTGTGGTAGTGCCTGCCTGTAATCCCAGCGATTGGGAGGCTGAAAACAGAAGGATCACTATGAGTCCAATCTATGTAGTGAGACCCTGTAGACTCTGTACTAAATACATTAAAAAACAAATAAAGGTATAGGCATAGGCAAGGACTTTTTGAATAGAATCCCAGCAGCACTAGAGGTAGTACCCAACAAAGAGGATCAGATCAAATTAAAAAGTTTATGCACAACAAAGAAAACAACAGAGTGAAGAGAGCATCGACAGAATGACAAAAGAGTGCCATTTATCTCACCTATGGGGATTAACATCAAAAAGTTCAGAAGTTACCCCCTCAATTAAAAGATCCAAACAAAAGATGGGCAACCAAGATGAATAGACACTTCTTGAAAAAAATACAAATGACCAATAAATATACCACAAAAATGTTCATCCCTGGCCATCAGAGAAATGCAAATTTAAACTACATGGATAACCTACACTGTTACTCTAGAATGGCGATCATCAAAAATTTAACAATAAAAAATGCTGGGAAGGATGAGGGGCAGAGGAACTGGTGAGAATGTACACTAGTGTCATCACTGTGGAGATCAGCCTGGAGTCTCATCAAAAACCTAAAAAGACAAGTTCATTTGACTCAGCCATCTCTCTTCTGTATAATCTTCCTGAAAGAGTTGAAATCATCAGATTGTGGGGGTACATGTGTACTTGTATTTATAGCAGCATAATTTTAACAGCTAAATTTTAGAAACAGCATGTATTTTTATCAGCAGATGAATGGAAAATGTGGCATGCACATTTCTACTACACTGCCGTAAAGAAAGCACATTTATGATAAATTTAGATTTTAGGATAAAACTGAGACATTTTTCGGTAAGGGGTGTATCTTGAGAACATGTTAAGCAAGTTAAGTTATACACAAGCTCAAATGTTGCATGGTTGCTCTTAAAGAAGTGTAAATATATTAACATACATGTATATAGGACATATATGTATGCACATAAAGAGCAAAATAGGAAATACAGAGAAGTTTAAATACTTCCTCAATAACAAATTCCATTGTTTTAAAAATATTTCAATATATATGTTAATAGCTTTTGTTTACACTGTTAGTTTATCTTAGTTCATTGAAAAGGATGACATGTTTTTGTAAGAATCTTTTTGGTCTATTCTTGTATTCTGACTACTTTGTTAGCAATATTTACCCACAGGAAAGTTCATAGTTGACGTTTAGACATGCACATTGATAAGTCATTCATTTGTAGTGTATAATGAATTACTTTATAATGGATGACCGTAAGAATGAATATAGTGGGCAAGTAATCAAAAATAGTCATGGGAGATTAAAAAGATACTATTAACTTTGACTAGAAAAATAGTTTTTTGAGAAAATGACTTTGTGAAGCTTTCAACAGTTGAGGGTTCAGGTTTTGAGGCTTGCATCAAGGGTCCCATCCTGGTCCTTCTTCCTGGTGGAGAAGGTCTTTCTCTAAGATTGGTGTGCAGTTTGACAAAATTATTACCTCTTTTTCCCAGCTTCAGGTTGCATATAAATATAATTGCTTTTAACCTTACTTAGAAAACAACATTCTACTGCATAAAGTTTTCTTTTTTCTTCCCTTTGTCTAAAAAAGCAAGGGAATATTCATTTAAAATATTAATTGAAAAAGAGTAGGTTGGAATATGCCAATAAAATTGGTTTTTCTTCTTTCATTTTTTTAAAGGTTATTTACCAATCACAGGTGATGCAGATGGATTGAGGATGGAGAATTGTTACCATTTCTATGATTGATGATAGCACATAGTTATATATTTAAACTATACAGGAGGTGCTTATCCTGTACTTCAGAATGCATGGAGGGAAATTTTATTTTTTATTTTTAAATTAATTTTATTGAGAAACAAATAGCAGTGAGACAGTTTCAAAACAGGTCAGTAGGACAGTTACAATAATTAATACATTGCATATTGTTGTCTTCATAGTGATTATCCATAGTACAAGATGCAGACATGATATCCTGTCCAAACACTAGTAGTACAAATATTTCTTCTCATTGGATTAAGAGAAAGTAGCTGTATATATAGTAAGGTTTGATTAACTTTCTGAAGTTCTTTTCTCAGTGTATTTGTTCAGCATGCATTTCTGATATTTATCTAATTGCTCTCAACCAAAGGCATGCATATTGTTTTTCTGGGCTGGTATGGGGGACCATGGTTCTCACTGCAAATCAGAAAGTGTCAGCCTTTCAGGAGTAAGGAAAGGGGTGTGACATGCTGATTTTTTTTCTATTAGAGAGAAATTTAATAGTGACCTTCTTTGGTAAAGTGTTATTTCTTTATAGCCAAAGACGCAGTAACCAGTGGAATTAACATAACTAAGTATATGTTTCTAGGAATGATAGACTTGTGTGTTTCATCAGAAATTGGGTACATGTTTAGAGGACTAATGGAATTAGTATAAGTAATAAGAAATGTGAAAATGATTAAAAATAAAGAAAAAGGATGAAAGGTATGCTTTTAGCATAATCGTCATTCTATATTAGGAATGTGAGCATTTCCAGGGGTTCCTGGAACCAATCCTCTGCAGAACCAAGGCATGAATGTGTTAACTGTATGTTTTATTTTAAAAATCCTTCAGTTAGGTTCTATATATTCTCATTGGAAAATAGTGATAAAGTAATGCATATTTTAATTAGCTTGAGTCATTCTACAACATGTGGCTCATGTTTTGGAGAAGTCAATAAAATTTTTTATGTTGTATGTAAGTAAATAAAATTTTTTGACTGGAGTGGACAACCAAAGGATTAAGTCTTGGTTTTTAAAATTGAAAAGTAGTTGGAAATTAAATATTAAGGTTGTTGCATATTGGGAAAAAGGTGGGAGAAAATGCAAAGTGCAAAACCAAAGTCCAGTCTTTTTTTTTTTTTTTGCAAAGCTCATTACCTGGTGTACTTCCTAAACTTGATCAGTCGAAAAGGAACAGCTTGAGCTTAGAACTGAGATCTCTGGAAAGGGTGCCAGGCCTGTTGGGCCTGAGGATGGCTTTTCTGTCTTACGGATTCCATACTTTTCAAGCTTTCACTGCATAGATGCGATAAATGTTGGAATAAAACGAAGTATCACATGAAAGACTATTGCCATTGTGCCCCTCAAAATATTTGTGTTACTCCCCCTCACCCTAAACACATTTATCCCATTGTTTTTGTAATGTGTTATTTACTGTCATAGTTCTTTGGTCTTAAGTTTATGCATTCACCGTGTTTCTCCATCACCCCTTGCCTACTCCTTTGTTAATAGAAAGTTAGGAATGGGAGTTTGCTGAACAAGAAAGAAAAAGTGAGCCTGAACCTGTGTGTATACAACTGTACTGTACTGTTTGTATACTGTACACAGACTTTTTTACATAGGTGAGAGGACAGATGCACCTTGGTGGAGATGATCCTAAAGTGAACTTTGTTTTTTGGTTTTTTTTTTGTTTTTGTTTTTGTTTTGTTGGTGGAACCGGGGATTGAACTCAGGCCCTTGCGCTTGCCAAGCAAGCACTTATTCTACTGAGTATCTTCCCAGCCCCCCTAAAGTGAACTTTTAATATTGGGTTGTATCTTTAGGTCTGGTGTTTTACATTATGAATTCTCACATGCCTTTTATACTATCAGTAAGCTGTGGGGTAATTTTTTAAGGATAGGTTTTGTTAGAGCTAATTTACTATTGCATTGGAAATGTCTAGTGCCTGCCTGATCTTTTGCTCCCCAGTGAAGCTCCCAACTGTACAAGAATTGTGCAACTGTGAGGAGCCCCAGCTGTTCCAAGTTGACAAGAATTATTGTAGTCATAGAAATCCAATGCCAGAGCAACTTTTGCTGACATATTTGGAGAGGGAGAATTTGAGTGACACTCTTGGGTGTATTAATCTTTTCTCGCACTTTTGGAGAAGTCTTCTATCTGCAACCAGTAATTATACCAAAGATTTTTAAAAAATTGTCTTTTTAGAATCAGAGTTTGAAATGTTGAAATGTGCAGAACAGCAAGATGAGACGGCCTCTCTCTGGTGGCTGGCGTACAGCTGTGTGTTTTCTCCTTAGGCAAATCAGGAGCTTGAGGCGTTAGAACAAGAAGTGGAGCAAATGCAGGACTCTGCTTGCCTCTTCGAAGTGGCTCTGCCAGAGTATAAACAGATGAAGCAGTGTCGCAAAGAAATACAACTACTCAAGGGACTTTGGGATGTCATCATTTATGTTAGAGTAAGAGATGCTTCTAGAAAACATGGTTTCTTCTTCTTTTTTTTTTTTTTTGCTTTTAGTAGTTCCTTTGTATAAACATGCACATTTTATTGCCTGTATCATTTTCTTTGAATGTCTTAAAATATACACACACATTAGATTTTACGCCCTGCCCCAAGAATCAGGGTTTATGTGTTGCTATTAGTAAAATTATTCCAGGAATATCATTTTTTTTTTAAAGGACAGGGTATACAGGGTTTCACTCCGCAGATTGGACTCATAGTGATTCTCCTGTTTTCCGCCTCCCAAGTGCTGGGATTACAGGCGCATGCTGCCATGCCCAGTCTCAGTCACTATTTCAGAGCGCTCATGGGTGGGGCCAGCATAGCGTGGCAGGGATCGAACCCCAGCCGCTGCTCTCTGCCTAAGCCAGTGCTTTAGTCCACTGAGCTATCAGGCTGGCCCTAGGAGTATCAATGTTTTTAAAAAATTGTGTTTATTGTAAGCTTAGCCATTAAAACAGTGATTTTGTTTTTTAAAATTCTATATTGTCATTTAAAATACACAATTAATGAGCATTAAATCGGTTGAATAAATTTTTGCATATACATTTATTTTGCTTAAAGCAAATATTTTCTGTCTGCAATGAGTAGGAATTTTCCAAAAGGACTTTTTGTGTGTCCTGCTTTTTCTTTGCAGTGCAGGGGCCCAAGTGCAGGGCCCTGTGCATCTGGCCAAGTGCTCTAGCGCTGAGCTTGGCCCCCAGCGTGAGCATTCTGCTCCCTTCTCAGTGTGGAGTGGCTACACAGAATGACTCTGTGCACGTGGCGTACTTCATATCAGTTCTTTCTGTCCTTAATTCAAGATGAAACTTGTGCAATGAACTGACTATGTCAGATCCTTTTAGGAGATATACAGACTATAAATAAAAATTAATGTGTAAATATGTGATCATCTACATGGTAACTTGTCTGTACAAACTCATACATATATCTATCTTTATTCGTGTGTATGTGTGTGTGTATAGGTGGAACCTTATTAAAAATGAAGTTAATTTGTGTTTAGCTAAGTTAGAAACAATAAAAATAAGCTCTAGGAAACTAGGCATATCGCAACATGTATTGTACATAATTTTCTAAAGTTAGCTGAAAGCCATATAAAATATATTAAGATATAAAGTATAGTCAAAAAGTGGTTAAAAGTTTTGTTTATAATGGGTGAAGATTATCTTGTGAAAGCTTATTATATATTACATGTAGGAACATAGAAACCTGTTATTTAATAATTTACCTTTCAATTTATTCAAACTACACAGGATTAAATGATAATAACTGCATATATGGAATTTATCATTACTGAAAGAAATTAATATATCATAATGTTTTAGCCTTAAGCTTGACATGTTCTGACAACTTTTTTGTTTCAGTAATAGGGAAGTTTTGACAAGTGTAGTTAATATTTTAAAAATTGTCTTTCCACCGGATGATAGAGTCGCTGTGTATCATCAGTTTATATATTTTGCTGTGGAGACTTGCTTCCACCAAATGTTGTTGACACGTTTATCTGCTTGCACGTTTTTCAGAGAAGCATTGATAATTGGACTAAAACCCAGTGGAGACAGATTAATGTGGAACAGATGGATGGAGAACTCCGAAGGTTTGCCAAGGCAGGTTCCATAACTGTCTATTACAACAATTTATCTTTCTCAGTACCACCTTCTCCCATCTTCCATAACCTAATATCTGGTGTGTTCGGCTGCATGACCTTATTTACATCACATAGAATGCTACCAGATAGTAGTTTTTCACTCACAACCAGTTGCACTTCTAATCAAGCCTGCCTTTCTGTGAATGAGTTGATAAAAGCATCTTAGGGCTAATGAATTTATGAGAAGTAACAGTAATCATTTGCTTCCCATGCCTGTCTAAACGGGAAGGAAGATTGAGTATCCAGGCTAAGGGCTCAGGCTTATGAATTACGCCTTTGATTTCTTACCTTAGTATTTTCTATAAGTATTTCACATCTGACTCTGGAATTTGGGACAACTAGATTTATATGGTTTCAGCATGACCAGGCCTGCCTGGTGTGCTGGCGTGGGCTTGTGCTCCAGACTACTTGGGAGGCTGAGGTGGGAGAATCCATTAAGGTCAGCTATTTGAAACCAGCCTGGGCAACACAACAAGACCCTGTGTCAAAAAAAGGAGGAGAGGCTTTGTTCTTTCTTCCCGATCCAGTACACGGCAACCTTGTTCCCGATTCAGCTCCGTCCTCAGCTCCTACCATCTCTGCCCAGTTTGTCTTCACATGTGGTCCCAGTCCCAAAGGTGTGAATTTGTTTTTCATTTTTTTGAATGTCATGAGGTTACTGTATCTCATTCCATACTCCCCACTCATTTTCTCTTCCACTGGGTTATCCCACTGCAGAGTAACAACCCTCACTCCCAACTGTAGGCCTTTTTTTTTTTTTTTTTTTTTTTTTTTGAGACAGTGGGCACTATCCTTTTCTCTGTGCAAAAACCTTGTTGCATGAATTCTCTGATTCACAATTGCCAGTGTTGTTCAATAGGCCAAGCAGACACACATCAAAGGCCCTGTTTAACCATCTTAAAACCATGCAGTGTTTAGATGCAGCTATGCAACACTTTAAAGCAGCCGCTCAAATGAGCCAGATATTGGAATGGACCCAGATAGTTAGGCCCATTTCCACTTACTTCTGTTGGAGGAATATGTCCTCCAACAGAATTCTATTTCTTTTCTACAGTTGATGGTACATGGCATATCCAGTGAGGTCTTATGAATAAGAAACCAGTGTATCCAGGTAGCTCGTACATAGTGGACTCAAAACAGTTGAATGAATAGATCCCTTTCCAGGTCTCTGATTTTAGTATTTAGTCTATGGATTTTATTTTATTTTTTGTATTTTAAGGAAGGTCTACAGGGTGTTCAGGGTCTCACTAGTAGATTGGACTCGTAGTGATCTGCCTATTTTCAGCCTCCCAAGAGCTGGGATTATACCACACCCAATTGCTGTCTCAGCACACCCCGGGGATGGGGCCAGCACAGCAGGCCTGGGGATCGAACCCTCGGCTATTTAATTCTCTGAGCTATTTGGCCAGCCCTACTCTATGGGTTTTAAATACATTCATTCTATTTCTTAATCTAGAGGTGGGGAAGTGTGAGTTTATTCTTTAAAAGGAGGCAAATTACATCCAGGAAGCTGATATTTTTCTACTTTTTCTTAGGAAATCTGGTCACTGGATAAGGCTGTCCGTGTCTGGGATGCTTATTCTGGTCTGGAAGGTACTGTAAAGGACATGAAAACCTTCTTGAGAGCCATCTCTGAGTTACAGAGCCCAGCCCTCAGGGACAGGCATTGGCACCAGCTGATGACGGCCATTGGGGTGAGTCCCCTGGGTCTCATGAATGGAGTACTTCTGTGATTATAAGTGTTGTTCCTTGATTAGTGTCCTCTGGATGGAGTGGCATATGTGAAAAGTCTAGTCAGGTGCTGGAGGTGAAGTCCCTTGAGCCAGCTCCAGACAGTCGAAGAGCTTAGTGTCACACTCACCTCCCTTTATCTCCTACTGGCAAAACAGTCTCAACCAAGTCACTTAACCTTGGCAGAATTCAGTGGTGGAAACCAGACATAGCCCGGCTTGATGGCTCCAACCCTAACACCTGCACGCTAGAGTCTTTGGTTTTATTTGTCATATCTCAATTGTCCTGTGTGTGAAGTAAAGCATCTCCAATTTGGTCATCAAATTCACATGTATATCATTATTTTTATTTACCTAGGTCATACATATGTAGTAATTGCTCAATAAATCATCTCTGATGCTATTACTGTTGGTGTATTGCCTACACTGATCATGTGGATTTTGTAAATGATTTAACATATTCATTCCAAAGATCTTTATTGACTCTCTTGATGTATAGTGGAGTGTCTACACCCATTCTCACCTCCTCCTAATATTTCTCCCCAAAATTTTCACCTTACTGCAGTCTCCGTGTGACCTATATTATGCTTTCCTGCAAGTTAGGAAAAGCTTCTCAGGCAGACAGTATAGAAAAAGTCAGCTTCCTCCATGCTTGTCACAGGACGTGTTCCCTCTAGGACAAGCAGGGCAGAAACTAGATTCAGTCTCCATTTGTCTTCTGGGCCAGAGTTCTTGCCCCGGGCACAAGGGCCTAAGTGGTAAGGCCTGCCCCGTTGTCCATTCCTGCTCGTGGTCCTCTAGGACAGACCTGGCTCTCATCAGGTTTGGAGTGAAGTCAGAAGAGCGTAGAGGAAGGGCGAACAGTTCATCCGGTTTATCCGCACCTTCCGAGTGCAGGGTTGAGCACTACAAGTCTCACTTAACAGGAAACCCCTCACTCCTGGACAAACATGGAGCATGGGTCTCCTATATGGAGAGAGACGAATGATGCTAAGGAGTCAGGGTAGGGGGAGCCACAAGGGACTGCTGTTTCCAAGAAGCAGACCCTGGACATTCTCAGCAGGCATGATAAAGGAAAGGGCTTTTTTGCAGCTGTGTGACTGGGTCAGGTCTCATTTACAAGGGATGTGGGGGAGGTTGGATATGGAAAGTGCTGATCACTCCTAAGCAAATATTATGGAGGTGAGGAGAAAGGGGGTAGCCAGTAAGACAGTGAAGAAATAAATGCAAATTATTTCTTCACATGGTAAATACGAATAATGACATTATGAGAAAGTATTTTTTTTTGCCAGAGAGCTAAGATTAAATTATTGATAAAACTAGGTTAAATCACGGAAGTAGCTGGGCATTATATTCAGTGAAAAGGCACTTCAGGAAGAAAAGATAAATGAGCTACTACATGATTCCTGGGATTTCAACCAAATTATAATACATGAACAACGAGATTCTCCTTTTAAATGGGCTTTGTGAGCACAGGAGATAAATGTGCAGACAAGGGAAGGATGTGAAACAAAAGAAAGCAGTATAGTGTGGGCACGGCAGAAACCTCTGGACGGCTTCTGAAGGGTGACGGCTCAGGAACTGTGGGGTAGGAAGCAGAGTTGGGCGGCCCACACCCTTCAGCACGGGAGGTGGCCCTAGCAGCCGATGGGACATATTTAGGTAGAGTGCATTCCTGCGGCCATTCAGTAGAAGGAGCTGTTAGGATATGCTTGAATGTAATTATGACCCTTCCCTTCCCTCCAAATCAGGTCAAATTTTCAATAAATGAAGCCACGACTTTGGCAGATTTGCTAGCACTGCAGTTGCACCGAGTGGAAGATGAGGTCCGAAGCACTGTGGACAAAGCCGTGAAAGAACTGGGCACTGAGAAGGTAGTGTCTTCAGACTGGGCTTTCCTACTGGGCTGATTCTGTCCTTAGCACAGAACCTGGCTCAGGGAGGAGTCCTTGGGATGTCTGGGAAGGTGCAGCCACGAAGGCCAGCCTGCTCTGCTGCGAGTAAGGCGTGACTTGGGCAGGGAACAGAAGCTCTCTAAGCCACAGGAGGGCTTCAAACAGGGCACTGGGCCAGGTGATGTGAGCAAAAGACACTTTTACATTCTCCACTTTGTAGCAGGCACCACTCTATTTTCTTTTCTTTCTTTCTTTTTTTTTTATTTTGACCTTTTTATGATGATGATGAGGTGGTGGTTTTTTAAAAAATCTTTATTTGGTGCAAGGTCTCACTTCGCAGCTCAGACTCATGTTCCTCCTGTCTGAGCCTCCCTGACACTGGAATTATAGGTATGTGCCACCATTCCTGGATTTGGGGTTGGCACAGTGTGCTTGGGATTCCAAGGCCGGCATGACATGCTGTACCAGGGATTGAACCCAGGTTTCCTTGCGTTTGCCAGGCAGGTGCTTAGATGCTGAGCTATCTCCCCAGTCCTATCTCTGTTTTCTAGATGAAAAATATTTAGAGAAATGTACATTTAGGCACTGAGAACCCTACCTGTCACTCCAGTCGTGCTAGATAATTTGTAAATAATTTCTGCTACCCATTACAATAGTCTTTGGAGTCCCCTCCTGCTCTTATAGTCTGTTTCTGGAAAGGACACAAAAAGTTGTGCATTGCTGTGATGTTTATTTCTTAGGTGTGCTGAAATTCCTTCTACAGATTTCATCACCATAAATTATTTGGAGAAAAAAATGAGGCCAGTAATACTAGATGTTATTTTTTACAAAGACTTCTAAAACACCCAAAAAACATTAGATAACAGCCTAGCTATTTAGAATAAGTTAAACTTTTGTGTATAGAAATTAATTTATGTTGTCGATCTCTAGGTTATTACTGAAATCAGCCAGACCTGGGCAACCATGGAGTTTTCTTATGAAATTCACTATCGAACAAATATTCCACTGCTGAAGTCTGATGAGCACCTTTTTGAAACTCTAGAGCATAACCAAGTAAGATGGATAGTTTTATTACAGAACCTTAAGTTTGATGATTTTCTACTTATTCCCAGTTTTAGCACTGTATTCAACACATACTTAGTCATTTGTTGGATGTGAACTTAACACAAACTCCAGTGTGGCATCATTTGGGGACCAAAGGTGTGACCACTTGTTCAGAAGGAACTTGCACTTGAGAAAAGAGACAAACAGGAGCAAGTCAGGGCGTCTGAGAAGTAGTGGAAGTTTTCTGATTGCAGAGTGAAAAATCTAAAGTGCTCCTGAGAAGGTGATGGCGCTTGTGCTCTGCTTTGGGAGACAGGCTGGCTTTCAGCAAAACATGGTTATCAGGAAAAGATATTTGGGCAGCAGGGGTACGGTTAGCATGCAGGATCCTCAAAAGCACCAGCCATTCAGAGGTCATCTTAGGGGTATAGTGTCTTTGGATTGTAGGGGTGTGTGTGTGAGTGTGTGTGTGTGTGTGTGTGTGTGTGTGTAGGAAGAATGAAAAAGCTGGAGAGACAGAATTGAGTACAGTCTGTGGTTGTAAAGTCTTAAGATTACAAGGGTCAGCATCTTTTTGGATGTGAGGGAGAAGAAAGGTACAAGCAGCCATCCAGAGGAGTCATGATGCATAAAGCACTTGGGTAAAGAAACTGGAATAGTGTAGGGATGTTCTAATTTTTGGTGTATTTAGCATGAGGGATATTTTTATGAAGGTAGAAAGTCAAACCAAAGCCCAACATAGAGGCTGAGTGCAGCGAAGTGCATATGGTTAGATCATTGTTAATATTTTAGAACTGATAAACTAGATAGATAGTTATAAAGAAGATGAGCCCATGAGGTATGGAGCCTTCAAAAAGGCTGCGTTTGGTGAACAAAAGTAGACATAAGGAAGCGAGAACAAAACGAGCGAGTAGGGGAGGGTTAGTGCTGTGTCCAAGTATCATGAACCAAGGGATGCCTCGCCCTCAAAGGAGAGTGCCGCGCACTGCATGTTTAGGGCAGGAGAAGAGGCCCTGCTGCTCAGGGGTCTGCTGGGATTTCAGTGTCAGAGAAGGATGCGCACCCTCGGCCTGCAGGGCGTGAAAGCCAGGCCTGCTGATGGGGGCCACAGTGTGCAATGGTCACCTGGAGAGGGAGGGAAGCGCAAGCGAAGGTCCAGTAGGCTGGAAAAAGTCTTGCATTTTCTGGAGATCCAAGTATACACACAATCTTGGAATGATTAACTGACAGAGACTGGGGGAAGGTGATGAAAGAACAGTTGAATTCCTAAAACTGCACCCTGGTGCATAATATTTTTTTCTACCTGCAAAGAAATTCTTAGTCTATTTGTGGAAGATGCATTAAGGGCAGCTGCTTGTATTTATCTTTTCCTCTTTTGAAAAAGCAATTCACAAGAATATTCAGCTGTTAGTTCACCTTTTAGTAAAAGCTTATTGAGTGGCTTTTATGAACATTATATTCTGGATCCAAGAATTCAGCAGTACCCAGAGTAGATACAACACCTCCTCGCGTACCAATCCACTACTTAAAGTTTTTGCTTTCTTCTAGGTTCAGTTACAAACTGTTCTTCAAAGCAAGTATGTGGAGTATTTCATTGAGCAGGTCTTAAGCTGGCAGAATAAATTAAATCTAGCAGACTCAGTCATCTTTACGTGGATGGAAGTCCAGCGCACTTGGTCTCACTTGGAAAGCATCTTTGTTTGTTCAGAAGATATTCAAATCCAGCTTGTGGAAGATGCCAGGAGATTTGATGGAGTAGATGCTGAATTTAAGGTTCATAAAAGACAAACTGCATTCTAGTGTAGCAATAGGAAAGCTTTCGGAATAACATGAAAGAAATTATATAAAGCACCTTCATTCGAAGTATTTATAAAAATGAGAATTTTTTTTCATTTCAGTGAGCAGAGGTCAGGAAACTTTTTCTGTACACAGCTAATGTGTGGATATTTTAGGTTTTGCAAATCACGTGGCCTCTGTAATTATTCAGTGCTGCAATAGTGGCATGACAGAAAGTATAGACATCATCTCAACAAGTTGGCGTGTTGTATACCAGTATGCTTTCCAGGCACTGAATTTGAATTGCTTATGACTTACATGTAATGTTATAACTTCTACAGCTATGCTTCTGTTGTCATTTTTTCAATAGTCTAAAATGTCAAACCTGTTCTTCTGGCGCATCCCTCTTTATCCCATAGGCTATCCGTTGTCGACATCCACAGTAGGGTGGGCAAAGAGATCCCTATTCAAGCAGGAGATTGAGACAGGGAAAACAGTACTCTGGTTTTTTGGTTTTTCAGTTTTCCATAAGAGCCATAGAGAACACATGGAGAAATGCACATAATAATGATAAGCAATTTGAAAGACTTGTAGTGGTGAATGGTAACTATCCTTGTTTTGGACAACAGGGGCTACATTTTTTTCCTACCTCAAGCAGAGCTTCTAGAGGAATTAGAATTTGTTCAACTTGAAAGACAAATTGTCTAATACTGATACACTTTCTAAGGTCTTGTGCATGTGTTTTTTTCCCCTCTCTCCTGCTTTTTTCTCCCTTTAAGTCCCTTTCATTTCCCCCCCCCCCTTTTTTTTTTTCTTGGTTGAACCAGGGCTTGAACTCAGACCCTTGTGCTTGCCAGGGAAATGCTTATTCTACTGCGCCATCTCCCGGGCCCATCATTTCCCTTTATTATTTTTTATTTAGCTTAGAAAAGAGATTCTGTCTGGGCCTAAAATGACAGTAGTCTGTCACATTTGTTTCAGTATAACTGTGTAATTATAGATTGTTTTTGAAAGCAAAAGCAGACAGATTATGTTAAGCATTCTCCTTATTCTTGCTTTCCTGCAGTTACTGGTTTTTTTTTTTTTTTTTTTTTTTGTGGTACCAGGGATTGAACTCATGACCTTACACTTGACAGGGAAGCCTTTATTCTACTGAGCCATCTCCCCAGCCCCATGTTCTTGTTTTCTAACCCCTGACGTGGACAAAAAAATTAGAAAATAAGTATTTAATGTTCATGTTATATTTTCATGCAGGAGTTAATGTTCAAGACAGCCAAAACAAAAAATGTTCTAGAAGCAACGTGCAGACCTCATCTCTATGAAAAACTTAAAGATTTACAGTACAGGTAAGAATATAGTACAGGTATATAAAAGGATCAGTTTGCTAAATAATACTATGAAATTTCTTTTTCTTTTCTTTTTTTTTTTTTTTGAGGAACCGGGGATTGAACTCAGGCCCTTGCATTTGCCAGAGAAGCGCCTATTCTACTGAGCCATCTCCCCAGCCCCAATACTATGAAATTTCCTTCACATAATAGTATTTAATACTGCTGTTGTATATTTAGTCTCTAATTAATCTTTCTATAATTGTGCTCACTGTCTAGTGGCCTGTACATATTAAGTCATTATATATAGTGAGCTAATGTGAATTCAGATGTATTCCCCTTTCTGCAAGAGACTATTAGAGTAGTAAAATAAAAATATTTTCTTAAGAGAATCAGCATAACTGACTAATTCTTTCATTAACTATTCTATAAATACCTATTGAGTACTGCTCAGGACCTGGGATTACATAATTATTTAGAATTCTTTAATGTGTACATTTTCCTTACATTAGAAATCATCCTTAGCCTATTTGCACTTTTGAAATCTTAGGCTTAAGGGACATTTGTAAATTAATTTTTATATATAATTCTACAACGGTGGCCACAAAAATATTCTGACTTTTGTTTTAGAATAGGTAAATGAGTGACAAAAATAGAACATTTGCCTGTGGCATTTACTGTGTGTATACAGACATTAAATACTTTTGGGGGGCTTCTGGACTCTGGGTCACTTTTGCTTGGGTAGGGACAATAAAGTGGAAGTGATTCTAGATCTTACCGTGTTTCTCAATCTCTGACAAAGGGTTTTACATATATTCTCTTGGGGGAAAAAAAGACACTAAGCCTTTTCCTAATGCATTTTATGCCAGATTGAGCAATGCCAAACCCAGTCTTCATTAAGAAGAGCAATGAGTGACACAAACAAAGTCGGATCTATAGTTAGCCTCACTAATGGGGTGTGTGTGCGTGCGTGCGTGTGTGTGCGTGTGCCCTTCCCCTCGGCCTCACTCACACATTTGTCGTGAGCAGGATGATAGCATCTAGGAGGGGGAGGAAGGCTGCTCCCTGTCCAGCACTGAACACACTGTGATGAATGGGCAGAGAGCAGGAACTGGGTCTGTTCTGCTGAGTGTCACTTACTGAATGGCTCAGATGTGCTTAAAAATATTTTCCATTCATTTAGGCTTTCTCTTTGTGAAAAAGCTCTTGCGGAATACCTGGAAACCAAGCGAGTGGCTTTCCCTCGCTTCTACTTCATCTCCTCTGCTGACCTGCTGGACATTCTCTCCAAGGGAGCTCAGCCTAAGCAGGTAGTGTTGCTCTGAATGTCTCGTGTTATGCTGTGTTCGTTAAGGAATGCCCCAGTTTCTCTGCCATTATCAGATGCCATCTGTCCTGTCACATGTGCCAGGAATTAGCAAATTTGCAATTAAAATTCTTCATGCAGCAAAAGAAGGACATCAGAGATGGTGCTATCCAAAGTCAGCAGAGTAGCTGCCCAGTGTTCCCTAAAGCAGTGGGAAATTGAATGTGTAAGTTCCAGGTCCTGAAAGAAGTCCAGAGGAGATGCAGGCTCCTGGTGCCTGGGGCTCTGGAGCAGGGCTGGAGCGTTCACTGCCTGGCCAGCAGCTTCCCTGCTGGAAGAAGCTCATGCCTGACACTCCCTTCTTCAGCTCTAAGGAAAACTTTATAACTACCAAGCTGGACTAGTTTTCAGTGTTGGAGAAGCCAGGTTTGTATAACTTCATACTCAACCTCTAAACCTCTTATTTTTCTTGTACCTACAAAAATAAACTTCCTGTTTGCTGATTCCCATGTTCATACTTAAAGCAAATAAAAGATAATATCTTTTGTCATCTGAGAGCTCAGTGATAAACTTTGTGTAGATTCTCTAATACTCCTTCCTATAAACGTTGAGAAGTCACCTCTCCTTTAGACCTATTCAGTTGTTCCAACTTTTCCCCTCCCCTGCCCTCCCTTGTGTCCTCCCTTCCCCTGCCCTCCCCTCCCTTCCTCTCCCCTTCCTCCCCTGTTCTCTGCTACCCTCCCCCTCCACTCTCCTCCCTTCCCCTCCCCTCCCTTCCCCTCCTCTGCTCTGCCTTCCCCTTTCCTACCCTCCCCTGTCCTGCCCTCCCTTCCCCTCTCTTCTCCTCCCCTCCCCTCCCTTCCCTTCTGCTTCCCCTCCTCTGCCCTCCCCTCTCCTGCCCTCCCCTTCCCTCCCTGTACTAAGAATTGAACCCAGGGTCTTTGTACTGAGCTATATCCCAAACTCTTTACTCACTTTAATTTTAATTTTGAGAGGGTCTTGCTAAGTTGCTAAATAGCCTACTCTGGAGTCAAAATCGCTGTCCTCATGCCTTTGCCTCTGCAGTGCCGGGGGGCCTGTACCATCCGTTCTAGTTAATTTTTCACTTATAAAAGCTGGCATATGTGGTTACTCCTGGAGCAGGCTGTGTGTTGCTGATCACTTTGAAACTCAAGCTTGTACTTTAGTGCTGTGGATTTTTATCCATATTTTTCTCAGAAAAAAATTCCTTTATGCAATTTTCTTTGCACTGTGTCTCTTCACACTGTATAGTTTCTGGAATTTTATACTTTCTTGGACACAGTATTTTTCTTACTTCCTTTCTTGTTCATCATTTAAGTTTGAATTTAAATTTTGGATGGCTATTTGTATTGCTTATAATACAAATGAAATTGTACTAATAGCAGGATTATTGGTCAACTTCAGCAGCTATTTCAGAGGGTTCACTCATACAGTGTTTCTATGTTTTGTTTTGTTTTTGTGGATTCATGGCAACTCTCAGATGGCTTTGCAGATAAAATCCCACTGATTGACTAGGAGTCCACTATATCCGTCCCTTACGTACGTGTTTACGTAGCACATGATTGTATGCTTGCTTGCTTGCTTGCTTTTTATATTTTAAGAAAGGGTCTACAGGGTGTTCAAGGTCTCACTACTAGATCAGACTCACCCTAGATCTGATCTGCCTGTTTAAAGCCTCCCAAGAGCTGGGAATCAGGCGTGCACCACATACCCAGTCTCAGTTGTCCTCTTAGCATACCCTGGGAGTGGGGCTGGCACAGCAGGCTCCGGAATTGAACCCCTGGCCCCTGTTCCTGCTTGCAGGTGCTTTAATCCACTGAGCTATTTGGCCAGCCCCTAATTGTGTGCTTTCTAAAAGGCTCATTGTTCAGATCACGGTGATCCCCACACTTACACTTCAGTGTTACCCTGTGGACTTGACGTTGTAGAGGACATGGTAGGTGATTTCAGGTAGCGGGTACTAAAGCCCTTGCAAATCCAAATGCTCGAGCGGATTTTCACTGTGAAAATTAGAATGGAGATGCATTACGTCTATAACTAGGGTCTTATTCTCTTTTTTCTGTCCTAGTTCTTTAAACAAAATAAACACTTGTATGACTGGCTAATTGAGCACTATTAATTCCAAGCAATTTTTAATCCCAAAGGTTCCCTACTGAATCGCTTTATTTACACAGTGTTCTCTTTGTACTTGGTGACAGCTAGAACCCGCATTGTCATAATTTCCTGGTCCTCTTTTCTCATTAAATAATAAGTAAATTGGGCCAGTGAGATAGCTCAGTGGAGTAAGCGCCTGCTTAGGCAAGCACAGGGACTGGGGTTCAATCCCCACCACCACATGCCAAGCCTGTCCTGCCCCTCTGGCACATTGAGCTGTCCACTTGGTAGCACACACTTGTAATCCCAGTGCTGGGGAGGCTGAAAACAGGAGGATCACTATGATTCTGAGCTATGCAGTAAGACCCTGCACCAAATGTATTAAAAAAAAAAAATAGAAAAGAAAAAAAGTAATAAATCACAAACAAGTGAGAAGGTTCTAGTTGGAAATTCCTGCTCATTGGTGTTTTTCACTTCAGTGTTTGGCACTGGGGAGACACAGATGCTTTGCCCTCCAGCTACAGATTTATCCCGGGGAAGGGGGGGGGGTCTAGTCTGTCCAATGTTACTTTTGGGGAGGACAGGCTGTGGAAACCCCAGAGACCAGTGCAAGCTAAGCACGTGCCTTATCCCCGCCTCACGGCCCGTCTTAATAACTGCCTGCTGCTTGGCCAGCAGTGATGCTCCTCCTTCACAGGGCAGTGAAGGTCCTCTCAGAAGTCCCTGGGGCTCGTGAACTCCCTCCAGGGGGTGTGCCCGAGCCCCCTGCTCTCCTAGCTCCTTACCTCGGCGCTGTGACATCTTCCTTTCGTCCCTAAGCAGATGTCCAAACGCAGCGCGTGGAGGCCTTACTTCCCACAGGCTCCACGGAGGCATCTGAGTGATTCTCAGCCTCCCACTCGACTGTGGAATGGAGGTAGGGAAGCGCTGCTTCCTTTTGGCCTGCAAGAGGAAGGAAAAGGCCGTGCCCCCTGCATTTGAATGATAAGTCATAGTTCTGAGAGTGCCTCCTTCCTGCCTGCCTCCCTTCTACAACCTCCGTAGGAGGTGCGTGAGGACAGGGGGTCTCCCGAACCTCAGCCCTGACCTGCTGCCTGTCTGCTGACCTCACGTGGTGTGCAGACCTGAGCCTTCGCTGTCCCTAGCTGAAGCTCAAGGCAAGTGCTCCAGGAGCAGATCGCTCCCCGTATTCCTGGCAGCCACTCTTGTCACACTCCTTTCAGATCATCAGAAAATAGGTGTGCCTTTGCCAGATAACATACTGGCTCACTGTGTGAGTCCTGGTCGGCAACTTTTTCTAAACTTCAGTTGCATTCTGTGTGTATGTGGTTCTGCAGGGTGAACCTAACCTTCACACTGAGCTCTATTTATTTTATTTGGAGACAAAAGTATCACTGAATCACTAAGTGGTCCAGACTGGACTTGAATTTGTGATTCTCCCAAAGTACTGGGATTGCACCTGCGCACCACTGAACCCAGCTACTGGTGTGCCTTGTAGACATTTCCCTTTGTTTCCCTAGCATGGTTTCCACTTTTTGCAGAGCGCTGCCTCCTCTGTTATCAGTGTGACTTGTTGCAGTCGTCCTCCCACCTGCCCCATCCTAGCCTTGTCACTGTACTCTTAAGTCTGTGAATTTTAGGTACATTCCTCAGCCCCAGCTCTAGGACTGCTCCTTCATGAATGACTAGGTAGTGGGAGATGTTGAAAAGATTTTAAATTATGAAACCGAACACTAAAGGACAGCCTGGTAATGTCCAAAATTACTCCCAGGTGTGTTGATAAACACAAGCAGCAGGCTGTTTATTCCCTCCCTGCAAGGAGGTGGCTTTGTCAGCTTTCCAGCTAACAGGGTCAGGCCATGTGGCCCTAGCACACACCTGGCTTATAGTTCTCCTAACCTGCCGGCTTTGAGGTGTTTAGATGTCTAATACACTTTGCAGTTCTGTGGAGATGCATACTCTTTCAAACTGGGCTCAAAATGTGGTTTTGCTGATAACTTTTTGTTATACCACTTAAGATTTGAACAATTCAAATTCACATAAGATACTGTCACACTCAAATTTGCATAACATACCATTACACCTTTAGTAATCATCTATAGGGTGTTGTTAGAAAAAGTGGTACCGAGAACAGCAAAGCTCTGCAAGCTGTGTGTACACATAACCAGGCTAGAAGGACTTGATGGGGGGGGAGCTTGTGGAGGAACAAAGGACTGTTTTTGTCATCTAGTGCCATAATCAGCATCCATCCCTAAGAGAAGAGGATCCGCTGCATCCCTGTGCATTCTGAGTTCTTGGTCACTGATTCTGCAGAAGGGAATGCTGTTGGTAGTTATTACACAGCACAGCATGCCCTTGCTCCACTCTCTTACCCTTTTTGCAATATTGGAATCGGTTTCAGACCACCAGGCAGAGCTTTCTCCCGCTGCCTTTTGTGCTAAATGTTCCTGAATGTGCTTCTTGTAGTGTGACTGAGATAACAAGGCCACTCCAGCTTGTGGACTAACAATGCAGTTCCCCATAAAAGACACTGTTTGTGGCCCGATAACTCATCCTGACATCTCGTGAATGACCTGAATTCTTCAGCCCCCTTCTCTACCCACCCACGCTCCATTTAAGAGTGTCAGTCCCAGAGAGAGTTCTGAAGTTAAGTGTGGAATTTGATCAGCCTGGGCAGCAGGGGAGGTCTGATACTGCTGTCACCTCCATTCCATGAGCAGAAGTTTCCAGTGGAAGACACTGGGGTTGGGCTGTCAGATGATGTTATTTACTGTGTCTAGAATGCCTTCAGCAGTTATTGTTTGTGCGTAAGCTAAGATGAAGGTCAAGTTTTAAATCCCTTCCCCCAATCTCAATTTAGATTCATCTCCAAAGGACATTCATTAGCTA